ACCCAGTGACTCGGCGCATAGTTAGCTTTCAACCTCACATAATCCGCAATCCCTTCAATCAATCCTCCAGGTCTGTCCGTTTCCATTCCATTGCATATATGTGTCATCTCATGATAAAGTACTCCAGTGATCTCTCCTTTGACGTCACCAGAATAACCTCCTATATAATTCGCGCTAACATGAATTTCGTTGTTGCTTGCATATGCGACCCCGTCCATGTTGTCGATAAACAAGCTGACTTTCTCTACACTTTTCCTGTCAGCGGCGTTGTTTTGCTGGAAGATTGTCCATATAAAAGCCGTGGCGGATTCTAGTGTTTGCCTACTGTAATCAGCCCCAATTTGGCTGTCGAAGCGGGCGCCACCAGTAGTTGTGCCGGCGGTGTTTGTGACGGTGTAGTCAACTGCATGGCAGCCTTGCATAGTTGCTAGTGTAGTTAATATTAAAGAGAGGAAAAAGATGTGGTGAGCCATTGGTAAGGTTCGCTGTTATAGTAGTTATCTGTGGTTGTATTTTCGTGTCATGTTGCTCAATGGTTTATATAGAGTTTGGAAATCAATAGGAGGGGAAAAAAAAAAAAAAAGAAGAATATTTTAATTGGTCCTTGATGAAAATTACGTGTTATTATATTTATGATACATGTTTTATAAAATAGTTTGAAAAGGACAGATTAATGTTTATTAATTGTTAGAAGAAGGGAAAAAAATGATATTTGACTTTGACTTTGACTTGGCCTGCTTTGAACACATCCCAGTTAATTACCCACCGCCAAATGGATTCAGATCAAATCCCTTATTCAAACCAGTCCTTTCCGGAATTTCCGCGTAATTCAGGAATACTTTTCTCAACAGGGAGAAAAGTATGGGTGCGTTTGGATAATCAATTGGGGAGTGTGTTTCCTATAAAAACCCTCTCCTTCACTATTTCAAATTGAACTGTTATACTTTTCTCCCTGTTGAGAAAAGTATTCATGAATTACGCGGAAATTCCGAAAAGGAATAGTTTGAATAAAGGATTTGATCTGAATCCATTTGGCGGTGGGTAAGTAACTGGGATGTGTTCAAAGCAGGTCAAGTCACTATTTCAAATTGAACTATTAGGGTGCGTTTGGTTTATTATTTTGGATATAATTTTTAAGATAGTATTGGATAGTTGAATAGGATAATTATTATTAGGTAAAATTTAAAATTTTATAAAAAAACCCTCTAGGTTTGCTAATTTAACTAAACACCCCAATATATAAAAATTTTGTAAAATGATAAAAACATCCTCATCTATCCACAGTGCCAGATTCCGGCCACCACCATCAGAATCTGGTCAGAATCTGGCGTTATGATACAGACTGATCAGATCTGACCGGACATGCATCGATCTAGCATTTTTCGACCAGATCCATGCCAAATCTAGCCGTTAACAGCCACAAAAGGCCAGATCTGGTCATCAATGATGGCAGAAGATATGGACGTCACTGATGGCCAGATGTGCCTTTTCCAACTAGATCCACTATGGATCTGGCCAGAAAATGTCATATCGACAAATTACCTGCCAGTTCTGGTTGTTTGTAGGTCATTGTGACAGATTCTGGCTACCACCGATGGTGGTTGCCAAAATCTGGCAACTATGGGTAAATGAGGATGTTTTTGTTAATTTTTAAACTTTTTTTCTGGGGATGTTTTTTCTGTTTGGAGACAGAAGAAAGAGCTATTTGGAATCAAACCTTCAGGGTGTGCCATTTGATGCCTAGCTGTTGGAGCAATGATAATGGGAGCCGAAATATTGTAACTTAGTATTGAAGTTGAAGTATCTATTAAGAAATTATAAAATTTCTTTTATCCTTTCAATTTCATTGAAATTATCTCTCTTCAAAAAGAATTTCTTATTTCATAAACATTATTACTTTTTTTCATGTATTATTTTGAATATATAAAGAAGGTAAATTTTTTATTATATATATTCACTTGCTAATAGTTTACTTTGGGTTCTCATCCTTTATTTGATGAAACTTACCTTCACAAAAACTCCTGAAAAAACTTCCGAAAGATGCTTAGAGGCTATCCCACTATCATTTCTCTCAATATTTTTGAATTTCTTTCTTTCTTTCTTTCTTAATAGATTAAGTAAGTTAATCCCTTCAAAGGAAATTGTTAGTTTCCAAATACACTTTTGTAATACCCTTTACCAGCTCACTTGGCTGATAGATAATATATTCAATATCATACTGATAGGAAACACACTCCCAAATTGATTATCAAACTGATAGGAAACCCACTCCCACATGTCAACATCTTTTCCTTCTCAATGTATGATCCTAACATTCTCCCACACTTCAAGACCCAACATCTACATTGGCCCACTCTAGACGGCTTCACTTTGGGTGGCCTACTCTTAGTGGCCTACTCTCATGGGGTCACCCTTTTCTAGGTAGCCCTTTTCCAAATAGCCCCTTCCAGAACATGGGATAAGGATAGGTTTGGCTCTGATACCATTTGATAGAAACTCACTCCCAAATTGATAGGAATTGCGCTAAACAGTAGGCCTTGATAGAAAGTGAGTTAGACAGTGATCCTTTTGTGGGCTTGGATAGAACTCTCCTTAAAAAATTGGCTTACCGAGAGAGGGTGTCCAAGCCCTTATAAATCACATGCCAACACCTTTTCCCTCTCAATGTGAGATCATAACACAAACAATGCTGCAACTTGGGCTCAATTTAACCTAGCCAAAAAAATGCAAATAGCATATAATGATACAAAACATCCATTAATTTTCCTACAAATTTGTCTTCTTTTTAATAATACTATTAATAAGATTTGAATCTAAAAGTCTTTGGTTCACACATAATACTTCAATTCTCCAACTTTGAAAGAATTTTCAGCTGTCACACAAAAGAAGCAAAAATCTCAATGCACTATAGTGCACTGAACCTATCTTTGTAATATTTGATCAAATGAAAATAATCAAATGTAGACAATCAACACATTCACATAAGCATCAAAAGTGCCTTTCAAAATTCTAATAAAAGCAATGCCACCTCTCTTGCCAACTTTGATTTATCTCCATTTCATGCAAAAATTTGCAGTTGTCTCCAAAATTGCATCTTCCTTGAGCATAATACCTGCACATTTGTTGTTTTCCGCAGCCAAGTCTAGCAGGCGGCTCCATTGGACGAAAATGATTGATGCTCTTCAATGGCTGCCTATGATTAGTCCACTCTGATAAGCTATACATCTGATTTGTATTGGGATATTTATAGGTAAGAGGTTGATGGCTACTCAGATCAAAGTTGGGCTGTCTGTGATCAGTCCTCTCTTTATGAAAGATAATGGCATCCAAAGGGTGCTGCGTTTTAACAATGCCACTATACTTAACAGGGTTCTGGGGAAGCTGTGTTTTATTATTGTTCTGCATTATTATCTTGGGTTCTTGAGAATGTGAAGGCAGACTTCTGGACTTGAAAGCCAACTGAGGTTGAGCTGCTACTGAATTCCTCGAATCAACAATTAAGCCGGGTTGTTGAGGCATAATTGCTTGTTGCTGAGGTCTAGTTGCCATTTTATTTGCATCAACAGATAAATCTGACTGGTGAAATAGAAATCCCTCTTTTTCTGTTGCTTTTGGGTTCGAGTGAGACTGAATACTTTTTGCATCCTTCTTCATGGACATCCTGAAGTCCAAGCAAGATTAGCAAGAAAATACAGAAACAATAAGATGATTTTCATAGCATGTTTTTACACACTTCAAAACGGTTAAAACCAACTATAGTTCTTTTTATGCGACATCTTATTTTGAAATACCTATTTGCCCTGAGCTTTTTCCTCTTTTCCTTCCCCTGGATTCGGGTTTCTCTATCAGACCTGGCAAGAGAACCTCTTGAGTGCTTTTCCATCAGAACTCTATGCCTCTCACCTTCATCATCCCATCTCTGAATATACAATTAAAATAAAGCTAGCTTGAGATATAAGGATCAACGGATCATGCAGCTAGCAGAAAGTAAACACTCAGCTTGTTAAAAACCTGTCTCAGGGTCTTTAGCCGATAAAGGTTTCGACCCTTAATTAGGAGGGGATGAAGTGGAGAGAGTGGCTTTTCCCCTTTGCTCCAGAGGACCTCTACCTGAAAGACAAGACAAAACAAAACCGTGCACTTCAACCACCATTTTACTTACATGAACAGAAAATGCATCATCTTCTTGCTCATAATTTAAAACCCAAACTGATACAGAAATTCCATATATTGAGTCTCATAATGGTCAATCCCACTCATAACTTCTTTGTAAAACATATTTACTTAAACAATAATCTGATGTCTCCTCAACAATTTTCTAAAGTCAGAATTTTATATGGCTTTTAACTTTACCGTAAATGTATGTTGCTGCTTGGCTACTCCATAGCTTTCTTTCACAATGCGGCCTACAACAATCCTTTTACCACACGGAGGACCACTTGCGCTACGCGATGCTATATTGAACCTGATAAATAAATATAGAAATAAGAGAGATAAAATAAGTACTAGTGTGACAAAATTGGTGGACTCGTGCAAATGTGTTGTCAGATGCCATTTTCATCAAACTTATAATTAGGACTACTGCAACTGTATATCAAGTGTTTTCAGCAAATAAATATAGCCAAACACTTACATTTCATAAACATTCTGTTCAAACATAACAACATCGCCTGTGCACGCATCACCTGCATTAAATCCATATTTACTTTAGAATAAACATCTGGGAAAAAAGTAAAAGTACAATTAGTAACTTTTCTAAGTAACCAAAATAGAACACTCCAGCTAGTAAAAGATAAAAAAGAGCAGTTAACAGCATCAAATATCAAAGGCAAATCATCATAACAGCATCAATTCTGCTCCTCATTATATGTAGATTTCTGGCTATAACAAGTAGTATACCAACAGAAGACCATTGCTCTGAATTGATGGGGCAAAAGTAAAACCACTACATAAAATTTTGTTCCTAATTTCTTAATGACTAAGCTTGCGCAAATATTTACCTTTACAGTTCAATACAAAGCTAGATATTGGGTACTTTTTCTCCCCTTCACCATTTGAAACCCTGAAAAACATAATAAAATTTATGAAAAGAAAAGATTGAATGTAGAAACATCAAGTAAAACCAGAAGATGAAAATTACTCTAAATGCTCCCTTATGCGCTGAATAAGAGTGCTTTTATTGCCAGTCAATCTCAATCCATCCTTCCTCAAATAAATCTTACACTGCTCCACTTTCAGTTTCTCCAGCTGCCCAGCTGCACCCACAATGTCACACAAATACAAGAATCATATTTCAAGCACCAACAATATACACCTGCAACTTCATTTTCTTTTTCTTTTTTTTTTTTTTTTTTCGAACTTATAAATCTAAACCAAACCCCTTCCCAACTGCTGTAAGCCGGATTCATCAAAATTGTCATCAAGACCTAACAGAGCACTCCTTTTTGGGTTTTGTTCACCAAACAAAATTGCAACAAATAAAAATGAAAAAGAACAGTTCCCATTGCATTTTGCTTTTATTTCCAGTTCCCACAATCAAAACCGAAGCCAAACAAAACAAACAAATTCAGGAAGCAAAGACACAAACCTTCGACAATCTTTTTAAATTCTTCTTCATTTTCATCAACATCAACATTGGATCTAAATCATTGTCAGCACTACAAATACAACACAACCCAACAATTAAAATCAAATATAACTTACATTCACATCAAACCCAAGATTAAAAATGGAACACCCAAGATTAAACTTTTAAAAATCGAACAACCCAAGATTAAAATTTTAGAATCTAACCGTGACTTAGTCTTTTTCCTGACAGAGAGGTTCGCAAACTTGGCGTGAGTGTCTTCAAGAACGATGTAACTCGGGTCTAAATCCGAATCGTAACCCGAGTCAGATCCTTCACTTTCAGTATAGTTTTCATCGTTTACTTGATATTCTTTGATTGTTGCTTGCTCAGAGATCGCCATGGATGAGTTTTTTCTTTTTTTTCTTCTCGAGTTTTCTGTTTCAAAGCAGATGCAAATGCTCACTACAGAACGAAGGTTTAATTCAAATAAATATGACCGTTAATTTTTTAAATAAAACGGTCGAATTACTGAATTTTTTAAACATTATAAAATTTTACTGATTTTTTTTTAAATTTAATACTAAATTAATTAGAATATATTGAAAATATACAATCCAACAAAAATGAGACAAAATCTCTCAAATAACACTACGGACACCAAAAAAGTTGCATCGAAATTCTGTACCGGCCTACGTGTAACACGCGTTTGAATTTTTTTACAATTTTTTTCTAGTGAACGGTCGTCCATCAAATTTGGACGGTCGTTCACTCACATGGACACCCGTCCATATTATATGGATGGGCGTCCATATACAAGGGACGGGCGCCCCATTTAAAGGAAGCCCACCCATAAATAAAATACAATAAAAAAATTTGTAAAACATTATGGACGGCCGTTCATAGGTTGTGGACGGTCGTCCCTTAATTTTGGACGGGCATCCGCAAATATGGGACGCCCGTCCAAACTTAATTTGTTTTAAAAAATAAAATAAAAAATTTGTACGCCCGTCCATAAATTGTGGACGGGCGTCCCTTCAGTTTAGACCGGCGCCCACAAATAATGAACGCCCGTCCTTGACCCAAATATGAAAAAAAAAAAAAAAAAAACTTTAAGGACGGGCGTCCATTCGTCCATACTTTTAATAAAAAAAAAAAAAATTCTAAACAAAAACCCATTCTTCTTCTTCTTCGTCTTCATTCCTCCTCTCTTTTTCTTCGTCTCAAGTTGCCATGCTGATGCAAACGAGAAATCCAAGTGCCCAGACAACTGATTGACAATCTGTGAAAATTACAAATATAAATCAGTAAATGCTTTAATTTCTATTTGCAGGATCTAGATATACATGCACCAGTAGACACCAAGTCATTTTTTTCAATCAGCTTCCAGAAAAATAAATGAAAAAAGGAAGGGAAAAAGATATATGGACAAAAGTATAGATAATTACCTTTCCAGTGTTAGAATCCACCAACATACCCTCTGGGTTGTCTCCAACAATTATTAGAAGTTTACCATCAGGACTCAGCGAAGTATGCTGCAAAAGCACAAAATAAAAAAGATATAAAAAATTCAATTGAAAGCTTCAGCCTGCAAATGCTTCATATATTGCCCAGAAAATGAAGCACAAAACCCTCCATGTCAACAAAGGCACCACATACTATACGGACAGATGGACTGTTGAATGTAACTAACTTACATTCACTCGCCAAGGAAAACGGAAATGCTTAGAGAGTTGATACTTTTCCATATCAAAATCTCTAACACCACAGTCATTATTTGAGGCAATGAAATGGACTGCACCACTGACAATGAAGATGAAGAAAAAGAGAGACACCACAGTCATTATTTGAGGCTGTGAAATGGACTGCACCACTGGCAATGAAGACGAAGAAAAAGAGAAGAGATGGGAAATGAAGACGAAGATGTTTTGCAACAGAAGAATGGGTTTTTGTTTAATTTTTTTTTTTAATTAAAAGTACATATGGAGAATGGACGCCCATCCAAATGTTAGGGACGGCCGTCCAAAATTTATGGACGGCCGTCCCCAAGTTTTTTTTTTTTTTTTTCATATTTAGGTCAAGGACGGGCGTCCAAACTTAAGGGACACCCGTCCACAATTTATGGACGGGCGTCCAAATTTTTTATTTTATTTTTTAAAACAAATTAAGTTTGGACGGGTGTCCATTAGGAATGGATGCTCGTTCAAACTTAATGGACGGGCGTCCCGTATTTGCGGACGCCCGTCCAAAATTAAGGGACAGCGTCCACAACCTATGAACGGTCGTCCATAATGTTTTGCAAATTTTTTTATTGTATTTTATTTATGGACGGGCGTCCTTTAAATGGGGATGCCCGTCCCTTGTATACGGACGCCCGTCCATATAATATGGACGGGCGTCTATGTGAATGAACGGCTGTCTAAATTTGATAGACGGCCGTTTACTAGAAAAAAATTGTAAAAAAAATCAGACACACGTTACACGTAGGCCGGTACAGAATTTTGGTGTAACTTTTTCGGTGTCCGTAGTGTTAGGGAAATCTCTCTAGTTTCTAGCCAGGCATGATTCGGTGCGATTTCGACCACCTGCTTTTTTCAGGAGAACGACTTTTTCTCCCCAAAGGTTAGGCGAAACGACACTTTCCCACCCACTAAGTTCAAAACGACATTTTCCCACTCTTCGTCAGGTTCTGTTAGTGTTTTCCGTTTTGAAGAAGGGTAATATGGTTAATTTATATCAAGCCACAAAAATGAAAAATAAAAAATTGAAATATAAGTTTTAGTTGTTGAATGGTTGCCACATGGCAGGGAGGTTGACTTTGAAAAAACAAATAACACCAAAAAGTTGATTGTATTCTATTGTAACTATATCTCTCTCTCTCTCCTCTCTGAAACTAAAACGCCCAGGCTTCTATTGCAACTCTCTCTCTCTGCTCCCTGGAACTGAAACGACTGACCCAAAGTTCTATTGTAACTCTCTTTGGTCTGTAAAACTGAAGCGTCTTCTCCCTCTCTTCTATTGTATCCCTTTCTTTTACTCATGGTACGTATTGGCTTCTTTTCCAAACTCAGTTGCCTTCTATTTTGGTGTCTTCTTGGACTGAGATAGAGTGATCATGGTTGTGGTTTGAATGCACAACAATTCTATTGACTAACAAAAAGCTGATTTTGTGTTCTTCCTGTTCTTGAAACTGAAGCAATTGGGGACTTAAGGTTGGCGACTAAGGATGACGACGGACAAAAAAAAGTTTGAAAGGGCGACCGACGATTGGCTACGATAATGAGTGAGAGAAAAATAACGACGACGACTAAGCCGAAAGTTGTGGGTAATCTTCTTCTTCTTCTTTGTTTTTGTCTTAGTTTAAAACAAAATTGTTGTGTGTTTTTCGTTTGGTTCTTAGTGGTTAAATTATAGAGCTTTTAGAAGGAACAAAAAAAAGGTTACTTTCTAGAGTGAAGTCCTTTTTGGTGCAAAATATGGATTCTTATAACGTCTATTAGTTTGTGGGGCAATTGTTCAACTTCTATCCCATTTCTGCTTAAGGAATTTCAGATTTTGCATTGCCATTGGTGCCTTTTGTCTTGATGAGAATCTTCACTTGAAGGTCCTGTGAAATTTTTGTTGCAACATTTTAAACCATTTAGTCTTTTGGATAGGAATATTGAAGCTGGACTTCTATGTTCAAATTAATTACATATAAGATTTATTGATAGATAATGGGAAAGACACATCTTGCATCAAATGTTTTACCTATATGATTACTTTCCACTTCTCAATGTATCAACATCCTAATTAACAAACAGTTATTGATAGATTATTCAAAAAAGTATACGGGATTTCTTGTAATAAGCCAATGAAGTCAAGAACTCGTCTCTAATCAATATGTTATCTCACTTTGAGCATTGTTATTTTTTATTTTTATCTTGTTTTGGTTAAGTAATTGTCTTGACTAAAAGACTTGTCTTTTTGTCAAAAAAAAAAAAAAAAAAAAAGGGTTTTGGGTCCCACTGATCTCTTTGTAATCCTTTGGTATTAAATTCTCTTTGACAAATATTAAAGAATGATATATTTTTTGTGTAGGGTTCATTCTAGCGATGATTTCAAGTGTAAAGCTAATTAAAAAGGAATATCATAAAGGCAGGAGATTGAAGTATTCTAGGAATTTACGGTTTTGGCAACATAAATTATTTTCGGAACAACTTTTGAAAGCAACAAGTAGAAGGGGAAATATATGAAATTTTTGTAATTTGGCTACTTGGTTTTACACTTTGCTTCTCTTTTAATTCTACAGTTTTTTGTCTTTGCACAAAGTTTGTGGAAACCTACTTTCTTGGTACTGAATTCCCTATCTTAGTGGTTTCAATTGACAATTTTTTTTTTATATAATTCGTTAGTAATACTAGTACTTTGTTTTATTTAGGTTTAATTGACAAAATTGAAATATAAATGAATGTGGTTGCAGCAACTATAAGGATAAAATGGTAATTTTACGAGTTTTAATATTTAAAAATCCCAGATAACTTCATACATTTGAAACATATTTTTAATAAAAAAAGTATAATTGTAACTTAATTTTCATAAAAGTTGAGGGCATACTAGTGATTTCTTTTTAAAGAGTGGGTATTTTGGTAATTGGTTTGTTGATATTAAAAAAATAAAAATATAAAGTCAATATATAAGGATTTTTTGTCTTTTAGTCAAATATTAACAGAAAACACTAACAGAACCTAACAGAGAGTGGAAAATGTCGTTTTGAAACTTAATGGGTGGAAAGTGTGTTTTGCCTAACCTTGGGGGTGAAAAAGTATTCTCCCCATTTTTTCCAGTTTTTTGATTATTTTTTCAAATTTTTTATAATTTTAATATTTTCGAATCTTTTTATTTTATAACTACTTTATTTTTAATTTTTTTTTCATTTTTTTTAATTTATTAATCTAAAATTTCCATAAAAACTAGAGGTGAAAAATGCATTTTAGTAAAGTTTGGGTGATAAAATGTTATTCAACCTCGTTAAAAAAAGGTAGAGTTAACGACATGTTCCCACCCAAAAAATAGCCCATTGACAAATTCATACCCACCCAAATTTTAAATACCATTTCAGTATCCAAAAAATAATTTTATTAGTAATTTTTGTTGTCAGGAAGGGCAAAATGGTCAAAAGCCCATAATTAATTAGGGCAGAATGGTCACCAAACAGTGGCTATCGAAGAAGATCGGTGCACATTAGCAGATGGCGTATGTTAGCAACATCAGATTCGAGAGTTTTTACCATTTTTCAGTCGATCTCAGCATTCAAAATCACTTCTGATACCACCCAGAGAATCCCCATCACCTCCTCTACAAAGCCCAAGCCTCCATTTGTCGTCATCACTCACCATTTCCTACCACCACCTCCATTCGCACGACTAACTCTTCAAGTCAGATTTTCAGTCAATTCCTTTGCCAGAAATTCACCCAGACACCACCATCACACTCCCCACAACCCACTCTACAAAACTGTTACCTCCATCACCGTCCCTTGCTTGCCAATCGCCGGCCATGAACAACACTACCTTTCAACTTCCAAGCCGATTTCTGGTTGTTTCCGATGTCAAAAATCATCCCTACCGCCACCAATCGACTCCCTAAATCTTCCTCTCCAAAAGCCCCAGCATTCTCGATCTCATTTGCTCACCAATCGCTGGCGATTGAAGCTTCCCCAATTTAGAGTTTTTTGAGTTTTAATTGGATTATTTGGGTTTTATTCATACCATTTTTGTGTTTGTTAGGTTGAAATACAATTGAAGAATGTTTGTTTGTTGATTTTCTGGTCGTCGGCGACAATTGCTGGCAATGGAAAAGGCTAAGAAGAGAAGAAAGAAGAGAGGGGTTTTTTAGTAAAAAACTTTGTTTTCCACCCAAATCAGAGGATATCCTAATATTTGAGTAGTAAAAGGGTGTTTTAAAAGTTTAGGGTGGGAAAATGCCAATGGGCCATTTTTTGGGTGGTAACATGTCGTTAACTCGAAAAAGGTATTATAATCTTTTTATAGTTTTACCCCCGTCAGGTAACACCGTAATAGATTCCATTGACGAATTGATGATGCGTGCAAAAAAAATAAATTTCAAAGCTACTGGTGAAAAAGTAATTAAGGAAACTTCGGGTGGGTAAATGTAATAAATATTGGTGCATGGATTTCAAATATTGGTGCATGAACTGACTAAAATTTGTAAGAACCAAACGTTACTTGCCAGCCAACTTTATTTTTCTTCCTTTTGTTTACTTAGATTCAGTTCAGATAATACATCCTGTTCATTTTGTCTTGGTTTGTTATTTGTTTTAGTTTCATGCTTATTCTATGATCTTCATTCTTACGTGGGAGGCCGGCACCTCTCTCCGTATGGGATTTTTGCTTTGTATTCATTCATATCATTTCACTTGATTCATGAATAATTAAGAACTAATCTTGTGTTCCTCAATGGCCGCTTATTCCTCTCTAACCTCTCCCATTTCTACGTGGCCTGTTGCTAATTACATATCATCTGTCGCTTATCAGAAAAACCACAACACTTTGAATTCCTCTACGTTCCAGTCTCCAATCAGACACAAGAAGCTTATGTCAAGATCAAGATGCAGCAACATTAATGGTTATTCCAGTAAGTGTTCTTATAGATCATAAAGTCTTGATTGTTTGTTAATGTAATAATTGACACTCCTGAGATATTATATAGAGTGGTCGATATGGATTAAGTAAAGGTGGATTCAGATTTCTGCTTCATCTCGTTACCATGGAACTAGACCTGTGTTAAATGTATCTAATATCTCGTAATAAGGACTATTATGCTATATTCTTTTAGGCAAAACTATAGCTGTTTCTTTGCAACCTGAGGAGGAGCTGAAGACGGAGAAGCAACAGAGGAAAGTTGCAGTGACTGGGATGGGAGTAGTGACACCACTTGGTCATCATCCAGATGTATTTTACAGTAACCTTCTTGAAGGTGTCAGTGGCATAAGTGAGATAGAGGGCTTTGATTGTTCAAAGTTTCCCACTGTATGTTTTTCAGTTATTTCAATTTCAATATCATAACTTCGTGTACAATATACATTTTAACTATACTGTTCTTAATCTCATAGAGAATTGCTGGAGAGATCAAGTCTCTCTCAACAGATGGTTGGGTTTCACCAAAACATGCTAAGAGGGCAGACAAATTCATGCTTTATATTCTTACTGCCGGCAAGAAAGCCTTGGTAGATGGTGGAGTTACAGAACAAATCAATGAAGAGTTTGATAAAATTAAATGTGGGATTCTAATTGGCTCTGCATTTGGAGGCATGAAAGTAAATTACCTCCTTTAACCATCATCTGTACGTCTATTCAATAAAATCTTGTAAAACGTGACGAGATTTGATTGAATAGATGATTTGTACTAGTTTTCACTTAAAACTCTCTCATTCTGACGGTATTCGAGCTTTTGAACAGACTTATCACGAAGGAATAGAAGCATCAAAGATTTCATATAAGAAAGTACGCCCCTATACGATACCTTATGCAACAACCAATATAGGCTCTGCTGTTTTAGCAATGGACCTGGTAAGTTCGATCTCTGAGTTCAATTCTTACCAAAAAAAAAAAAAAAAAAAATAATAAAAAGAAGAACAACAGCTTTTGCAAGTTGAAACCTTACCCTCTTACAAGCTTCAAATTTTCAGGGATGGATGGGACCAAACTATTCAATTTCTTCAGCTTGTGCAACAGGCAACTCTTGTATACTCAATGCAGCACATCACATAATCAAAGGTGACGCAGTAAGCAACTCACTTTCATCTCATTTTTCCATTAGTTAGAACTAATATTCAATTTATTTTAACACCATCTCTTTTGGATGAGATTAAATCCTGCTTTCTGAAAAAATTTCAGGATATCATGCTTTGTGGGGGTTCTGATGCAGCAATTATTCCTGCAGGTATCGTATTAATACTTCAAGTACTGGGGGTTCTCAAATCTTTTTCTAGTGCATGAACTTATCATTTTTAGTTTCTTGATTATTGGAGCTGCAGGTTTAGCAGGTTTGGTGGCCTTTAGAGCTCTTTCAGGGAGAAATAACGATCCAACTAAAGCTTCCCGCCCGTGGGATACTGTAATCCATCCATCATCTCTTCTTTTCTTCTTTGCATGACGTTCTATGGAAATCAGCATTGTTTTTAAAAGCATATTTCCTTAATAGGCATCAACAAGCATTAAAAGATAAAATTTATGTTGATATTTGAGAACTATCAGATTTCAATTAAGTTTGAGATAATTAAGATTTTGCAACTGAGCAGGATCGCGATGGAATGGTTGTGGGAGAAGGAGCCGGAGTTCTGCTTTTGGAAGAGATGGAACATGCTAAGGTGAACTTGCTATGAATCATTTCTGTAGTTGAATGGGGTTTTCCCTGTCATAAGGTCATGACTTTACTCTCAATAAAATGACAGAGAAGAGGTGCAAATATTTATGCAGAGTTTCTGGGTGGAAGCTTCAGTTCTGATGCTTATAATATTGTTGAGCCTCATCCTGATGGTTAGTAATAGTCTTGTCTTTCTAAAGTTCCGAGAACCTCATATCATGTAAAACACTTTTTATCTAATGTTTCTTTCTAAATTCAGGACTGGGTATAGTTTCCTGCATAGAAAAGGCCTTGACACAATCTGGGGTTGCCAGAGAAGATGTAAACTACATAAACGCACATGCTTCATCAACACCAATTGGTGATCTGATAGAATACCAAGCTTTAATGCAGTGTTTTGGCCAGAATCCTGAGGTAATATAAAAGCAACTCAGTCACTTAAGTTTCATATTATTTACTTCCTGCCATGCTTTATTTGATACCTAAAATTTCCAGCTAAAAGTGAACTCCTCAAAATCCATGATTGGTCACCTTCTAGGAGCTTCAGGTGCTGTAGAAGCAGTTATCACAGTTATGGTAATCAAATAGCTTGTGTTTAGGCAAAGTACTTTAGTTATTTCAACACTTTTTCTTAATTGGGTTTTTGTTTCTCAATGCAGGCAATAAAGACTGGATGGCTACATCCAAACCTCAATCTTGAAAATCCGGACAAATGTGTGGTATGCTCTCTGTATTTTAATCCATAATAAAGGTCTTTGTTTTTAGAGTATCTTAAACTGATTACTTAAAACATTTCAGGATAGGGAAGTGCTTGTTGGCTCCAAGAAGGAACGTTTTAACATAAAAGTTGCACTGTCTAACTCATTCGGACCTGGTGGACACAACTCATCCATCTTATTCGCACCTTACAAACAAATTTGATGTGTAAACTCATTGTATATGAAGGAAAATTAAGCATATTTTCAGCTTTGTAATCACTTAGCTGATGGATTACATTTTAATGGCAAATCCACCTCATAATTTCTGTTAACCATGCATGCCACGCTTCTCTTTTATCCCTTTCCTTTGTACCTTATAAATCTGAAGGACAATACTACATTTACAACTTAATCTCACAACTCTGATATGACAGTTCATAATGGATCCTACTTACGCAACAATGGGTCTCGTCTATCCAATTACAGGTTGTCACGTCGGAATTGTAAGAAAAAATTTGTAAGAGTAGGTTATGAGTCAATCTTTATTGAAATCTTAATGGCTTACAGATTCTCATTCAAATGACCAAATTGGAAACATCAACTAGTTTAAAATAATAAAACAAATATACTATGCTCAGGTGTTAGTTCCACATTGCCTACCAAGCCTAACACCCTAGCGTGAGCTTTCCCACATGTTGATCGTGAGGGAGCGTGTTATACTCAGGTGTTAGTTCCACATCGTCTATCAAACCTAACAGTCGACTGTGAGCTTTCCCACGTACTGAGCGTGAGGGAGCGTGTTACGCTCAGGTGTTAGTCCCACATCATCTACCGAGCGTCGCCTACTTACTAGGCTAGTGTTTGAGTTATCACCTTATAACATAAAATATAGACAATTATTCCACCAACAGTTAAAAAATTTGTCAAAGTTATTTTATAAATAAAAATTTGAGTAAATTTTAGAAGTTTTTAACCAACTTTCATAAATACTCAACTTAATCTTAAAATTAACAATTGAATAATAATACTCTTAATAAATATTGGTGCATGGATTTCATAATTTCAGAATTTGGTATAGAGGTGGGAAAGGCCTGGTCCAGTCGTTCCTGGGCCTGGGCCCTCAAGATCCAGAGAAAATTTGGGCCCCTTTTTGAGGGTTTGAGCCCAAATATTCAGGAACCGATCATGGGCCCATGAGATTACTTAGGGCCCCTCATGGGCTCCTATGGACCTAGACAATATCTACCATAGATCTAAACTTGGGATCCTTAGATGGCAACTTTTTGGGACTATGATTGATTTAATTTGAAATGAGTAATGACAGCTTACAACTAAATCGTACAACCCTTTTTCACAAGATGAAATAGTTTATAATTGGTCAGCTTATAAATAGGTTTCACTTGTTTGCTATGAGTTTTTTTATCTAATTATGAGCTGACTAATTATGAGCTGTCACGTCTAAAGTTATAAAAGAAAGTTATAAGAATAGGTTGTGAACCTAGCATTAATGATTTAAAATATAACTCTTGTTATTAAAAATAAATAGTAATAGTAATACTAAGGGAGGTTATCTATTTGATTTTATTTTTTTGTTATAATTTGACAATTCTTAAGAGAGACTGGAGCAACAATCTATGTCATAGCCCTCATTTAAATCACAGATGCTCAAATGTAAAATCTCATAAAAAAGTATACGTATATCCACACTATCCCTTATTTGTCCTAACCATTTGGATAACTCATAAATGGGTGGAGTTACCAAAGTTCATTAGTCATAAATAGAGTAAAAGACTTATTGGCCTCCTCTCGTCAAAAGTTCTAATAGTTTGGACCAAGTTTGTTTTCTGTTTGTTGGAAAATAAATTTGGGTAATAAAATGGTATTTTGAAAATGTTTAGTAGAAAGAGTGATTAAGCTATTATTTGGGTTGAAAAAAAGTCATTAACTCATCATAAATATTATATCCATTCTGTGCATGAAGGGACTAAAATTTATAAGCATGAACTGCCAACTTTCAGTGCATATAATGCATCCTGTTCATTTCGTCTTCGTNCGAGCGTGAGGGAGCGTGTTACGCTCAGGTGTTAGTCCCACATCGCCTATCGAGCCTAACACATGAGCGTCGCCTACTTACTAGGCTAGTGTTTGAGTCATCACCTTATAACATAAAATATAGACAATTATTCCATAACCAACAATTAAAAAATTTGTCAAAGTTATTTTATAAATAAAAATTTGAGTAAATTTTAGAAATTTTTAACCAACTTTCATAAATACTCAACTTAATCTTAAAATTTAACAAATGAATAATGCTATTCTTAATAAATATTGGTGCCTGGATTTCACAATTTCAGAATTTGGTATAGAGGTGAGAAAGGCCTGAGCCCAGTCGGACCGGGGAAAATTTGGGCCTGATTTTTTAGGGCCCGAGCCCAAATATTCAGGGACTGATCTTGGGCCCATGAGATTTCTTACGGCCCCTCATGGGCTCATAGGACTAGTTTTGGGACCGGTCCTATGGGCCTAGACAATTTTTTTTTGTAAAATTTCATTTAACCCCTACATTTATTGTTATTTTCATATTAAATATGAGGGTTTTGCATATTTTATAGTGGTTAAAAGGAAATTGGGGAGGGGGGTTTGGGCCAGGCCTGCGAACGGTCCCAAGCCGAGGCCTTCCTCCCTTGAGGGCCCAAGGCAAATTTGGGCCCGATTTTTGAGGGCCTGAGCCAAAATATTTAGGGATCGATCCTGGGCCCATGAGATTTCTCAGGGCCCCTCATGGGCCCATAGGACTGGTCCTATGGGCTTGGACAATTTTTTTTTTGTAAAATTTCATTTTAACCCCAACATTTATTGTCAATTTCATATTAAAAATGAGGGTTTTGGATATTTTATAGGGGTTAAAAGGAAATTGGGTAGTGGGGTTTGGGCTTGGGCCTACGAATGTTCCCAAACAGGGGCCCTCCTCCCTTGGGCTTGGTCCGATCCTAGGACTAATCCTTATAGGACTAGTCCTAGGACCGATTTTTTAGGCTGGGCTTTTTGTTTGTTATTGAATGGGCTTTCAATTTTGTGGTTTAAAGTTGCGGGGACTAATATAGTGAGTTTTACAAATTTTGACGATCGAGGTTTTCTTTGACAAAATTTGACCCATTTTTTGTGTTAGGTCCACAAATCTTCTATCCTTAGGTTGTCTTGTATTAAGTGACCTCACAATCCCATAAAAGAAGACAGAAGAAAAATGCATTTAGAAGTTATATTATAAGCGGGTAAATTTCATCCGCTCTTAACAAATCACAAAATTCAAAGTTTTATTGATTTTCAGAAAATATTAAATTCTTCTTTTATTTAGGGTTTTTGCTATACTTGGCGGTTTTTTTTTTTTTTTTTAATTTTTAATATCATTATAGTTTTTTAAAATGATTAGGCGATTAAGACTTAACGATCTCTAGGGAGGCCATGAAATTAACCTTTTTTATGATGAAAAAAAACACATTTTTAATATGTATAAGGAAAGCATTTTTATTATTTTAAAAGTATTAAATTCCGCTTTTATTTGGAGTTTTTAATTATATTATAATTTTTCATGCGTATCTAATAGTTATTAAAAAGATTAGGCGATTAGCACTTAATGATCTCTAAGAATGCGATGAAATTAACCTTTTTCACAATAAGAAAAAACACATTTTTAACATATATATATATATATATATATAAAGTGTTTTTATCAATTTACTCCTTTAAATATTAGTCTATAACATAATAAGTCAATCATACACATAAGAAGAAAATGCTCGGAAAGCACTTCGTATATATTTTCAATATGTTAACCTGACACTAGGGAACAGACAAAAACACTTTTAAACAACCCACCACCACAGCCACACGGCCCCACTTAAATCGGGATGATCAGATGAAAAATCAAACTTTAGACCGTACGTTTATGTATACTGTTAGGGCCAAAAATCGTCCTTGACCCAAATAGGGAAATAGGACTATTAGCGAAGACGGACCAGGCCCAGTCCTGCAAAGGCCCAAGCCATGTTAGTTCTCTTTTAACATGAGGTACAAACCGGCCCAAATCAAGTGGGCACAAGCCTCTCAAACCTAGCCCATTTCCTAGGTCCACGGATGAATCCAGAGCCCACAGCCCTGTCATAGTACTTTCATATTCCTAATCAACCTCCAATTCAAAGACGCCTTCCTATTCTTGACCACTTTCCTACTTAGCGAATTCTCTGATACAGAGTTACCTTCCTATTTGGACATGGGTAAGACAACTCACCACGACCCTAATTCTTCTAGGGTTTACATCAGAGTCAGATGAGGACTCCTGATCCTACCAGGATTGGGAGACCAGACGACCACTATATAAGCAGAGGCCTGCCCTCTCATAAAGAACATCGACATTACACCTTCACACCCGAGACTCTTTACTCGAGAGTTTCACTGATTCGCCGTAGTCACAGTCCCCGACTAGACTTCCGGTAATTTCTTATTCCTTAGCCCTCACTAAATTAGCCCCTTTCAGCCTTGCTGACTTGAGCGTCGGAGTGCGTACGGCAAACACCACCCTGGTGTTTCCCGTTCGCTTCACGCGAGTGTTTCTCTATGTGTGCAGGTATAACAGATCGCTAGTGGCCTCAACCTCACGGGATCAGACCCCCCTTTCCGTACAGGTAGATTTTTACATCTACATATACTATATCTAATTCGTCCTAACCAGTTGGGTTACCCACGGATGTGTCGCTTTTAAAGTTATCTAACAAAGAAAACCAATTCCAAATTTAATAATAGTGATATGTAATACTTATTAATAATAGTGGATACATTTTATATAAAACAATTTCACAGGGATAAATCAAAAAAACCTATATTGAAGATAATATCTCAAATCCAAAATGTGTAGTAAAAAATTGGTGATTGGGTAGACCCATGATAGTAAACTAGGACCATATGCACACGAACATCTCACCAAGAACCCGATATTGATTTAACTGGATAATTGAAATAGAATGGTAGGTCAACGAATGACTGTCTGCCATTAAGTAACAAATAAATACTCATAAAATCTGCTAAACTACGGACAACCATAGCGTAGCAGATTTTAATGAGCAGTTAATCTTGACAGCATAAATCTTTATTGCGGACCCACTACAATATCTACGATAGATCTAAACTTGGGATCCTTAGATGGCAACTTTTTGGGACTGTGTTTTGAAATGGGTAATGGTACGTCACCGCTTAATTTCACAACTTCCTCTCACAATCTTTGATATCACAGTTCTTAATTGGTCAGTTTGTAAATAAGTTTTACTTATTTGTTATGAGTTTCTCTACCTAATTACAAGCTGACTAATTATGAATTATTACATCTAAGGTTATAAAAGAAGGTTGTAAAATTGGGTTGTGGATCTAGTATTAATAATTTAAAATATAGCTCTTGTTATTAAAAAAAATATATTAATAGTAATACTAAGGGGAGGTTACCAATTTTATTTTACTTTTTTGGTATAATTTGACAATCCTTGAGGGAGATTGGCGCAACAATGCACTGCCATAGCCCTCATTTAAATCGCAGATGGTCAAATGGAAAATCTCCTAAAAAACCATCCTAACCATCTGGATAACTCACAACCGGGTAGGGTTACCAAAGTTCATTAGTTATAAATAGAGTAAAAAAACTCATTGGTCTCCCCTCTTCAAAAGTTCTAACAATTTAGATCAAGTTTATTTTCTGGTTGCTGAAAAATAAATTTAGGTAATAAAATAATATTTTAAAATTACATAGGTAGGAAAGTGTGATTACGCTATTATTTGGGGAGGAAAAAGTCATTAACTCATCATAAATATTATCATTCTGTGCATGAACTGACTAAAATTTATAAGCATGAACTGCCAACTTTCAGTGTACATAATGCATCCTGTTCATTTCGTCTTCTTCTGTTATTTGGTCTACTTGCATGCCTATTATATGATCTTCACACTTCCGTGGGAGGCCGGCACCTCTCTCTCTGCGGGATTTTTGCTTCGTATTCATTCATATCATTTCAGTTGATTCATGAATAATAATTAATCATCCAATCTTGTGTTCCTAAATGGCCGCTTATTCCTCTCTAACCTCTCCCATTTGTACGTGGCCTGTCGCTAATTACATATCATCTGTCGCTTATCAGAAAAACCAAAACACTTTGAATTCCTCTATGTTCCAGTATCCAAAGAGACACAAGAAGCTTATGTCAAGATCAAGATGCAGCAACATTAATGGTTATTCTAGTAAGTATTCTTATAGATTATAAACTGTAAAGTCCTGACTGTTTTTCAATGTAACACTCAAGACTTGACACTTGTGAGATATTCTATAGAGTGGTCGATATGGATTAAGTAAAGGTGGATTCAGATTTCTGCTCCATCTCATTACAAGAGCCACTGATATAACTCAAAACCATGGAACTAGACCTGTGTTATTTGTTACTGATGTATAAGTGTATCTAATATCTCGTGATAAAGGACTATTATACTATATTCTTTAGGCAACACTATAGCTGTTTCTTTGCAACCTGAGGAGGAGCTGAAGACGGAGAAGCAGCAGAGGAAAGTTGCAGTGACTGGGATGGGAGTAGTGACACCACTTGATCATCATCCAGATGTATTTTACAGTAACCTTCTTGAAGGTGTCAGTGGCATAAGTGAGATAAAGAGCTTTGATTGTTCAAAGTTTCCCACAGTATGTTTTTCAGTTATTTCAATTTCAATATCATAACTTTGATTACAATAACAATTTGACAATACTGTTCTTAATCTGACAGAGAATTGCTGGAGAGATCAAGTCTCTCTCAACAGATGGTTGGGTTTCACCAAAACATGCTAAGAGGGCAGACAAATTCATGCTTTATATTCTCACTGCTGGCAAGAAAGCCTTGGCAGATGGTGGAGTTACAGAACAAGTCAATGAAGAGTTTGATAAAATTAAATGTGGGGTTCTAATTGGTTCTGCATTGGGAGGCATGAAAGTAAATTACATCCTTTAACCGTTACTTGTACCTCTATTCAATAAAATCTTGTAAAACGTGACGAGATTTGATTGAATAGATGATTTGTAGTTTTGTACCAGTTTTCACTTATATTCTAGCTTTTGAACAGACTTATCAAGAAGGAATAGAAGCATAAAAGATTTCATAAAAGAAAGTACACCCCTTTACTATACCTTATGTAACAACCAATATAGGTTCAGCTGTTTTAGCAATGGACCTGGTAAGTTCGATCTCTGAGTTCAATTCTTCTCCCAGAAGGTTAAGAGAGTTTACTGGTATATAGTAGAACAGCTTTTGCAAGTTGAAACCTTACCCTCTTATAAGCGTCAAATTTTCAGGGATGGATGGGGCCAAACTATTCAATTTCTTCAGCTTGTGCAACAGGCAACTCCTGTATACTCAATGCAGCACATCACATAATCAAAGGTGACGCGGTAAGCAACTCACTGTCATCTCGTTTTGCCATTAGTTAGAACTAATATTCAATTTTTTTGGGCACCAACTTTTTTGGATGAGATTAAATCCTGCTTTCTGAAAAATTTCAGGATATCATGCTTTGTGGGGGTTCTGATGCAGCAATTATTCCTGCTGGTATCATAGTAATACTTAAAGTACTGGAGCAATTAGCATTCTCAAATCTTATTCTAGTGCATGAACTTATCATTTTTAGTTTCTTGATTATTGGAGCTGCAGGCTTAGCAGGTTTTGTGGCCTGTAGAGCTCTTTCAGGGAGGAATAAAGATCCAACTAAAGCTTCCCGCCCCTGGGATACTGTAATGCATCCATCATCTCTTCTTTTCCTCTTCTTTATACAACATTGAGTTTTTATAAACTAATAATCTCTCTTCTATGGAAATCAGCATTGTTTTTGAAAGCTATTTCCTTAATATGCATCAACAAGCGCTCAAAGATAAAATTTATTTTGATATTCAAGAACTATCAGATTTCAATAAGTTTGAGATAAGATTTTACAACTGAGCAGGATCGCGATGGATTGGTAGTGGGAGAAGGGGCTGGAGTTCTGCTTTTAGAAGAGACGGAACATGCTAAGGTGAACTTGCTGTGAATAAATCATTTCTGTCATTGAATGAGGTTTTCCCTATCATAAGTCATGAATTTACAACCAATAAAATGACAGAGAAGAGGTGCAAATATTTATGCGGAGTTCCTGGGTGGAAGCTTCAGTTCTGATGCTCATAACATAGCTAGGCCTCATCCTGATGGTTGGTAATAGTCTTTTGTCTTTCTAAAGTTCCCAGAACCTCATATTATGCAAAACATTTTTTATCTTATATTTCTTTCTAAATTCAGGGATGGGTATAGTTTCGTGCATAGAAAATGCCTTGACACAATCTGGGGTTGCCAGAGAAGATGTAAACTACATAAATGCACATGCTTCATCAACACCAGTTGGTGATCTGATAGAATACCAAGCTTTAATGCATTGTTTTGGCCAGAATCCTGAGGTAATATAAAAGCGCTCAGTCACTAATGTTTTCATATTATTTACTTCCTGCCATTGTTTATTTGATACCTAAAATTTGCAGCTAAAAGTGAACTCCACAAAATCCATGATTGGTCACCTTCTAGGAGCTTCAGGTGCTGTAGAAGCAGTTGCTACAGTTATGGTAATCAAATAGCTTGTGTTTATGTGATTCGGTGTTTTCCAGTACTCAGTATTTCAAAACCTACTCTTAATTGGGTTTTTCTTTCTCAATGCAGGCAATAAAGACTGGATGGCTACATCCAAACCTCAATCTTGAAAATCCGGACGAACGTGTGGTATGCTCTCTATACTTTGATTCATAATAAAGGCCTTTGCTTTTAGAGTATCTTAAACTGAATATTTGAAACATTTCAGGATGAGGAAGTGCTTGTTGGCTCCAAGAAAGCACCTTTGGACATAAAAGTTGCACTGTCTAACTCATTCGGACTCGGTGGACACAACTCATCCATCTTATTTGCACCTTACAAACAACTTTGATGTGTAAACTCAATGCCTATGAAGGAAAACTAAGCATATTGTCAACTTTGTAATCACTTAGCTGACGGATTTTATTTTAATGGCAGATCCACCTCATAATTTCTGTTAACCATGCATGCCACGCTTCTCTATTATCCCTTTCCTCTTACAAATTCTTAATCTATTGCGAATTCATTCAAATGAGCACTGACCAAATTGGTTCCAAACATCAATAAAGCACTTGGATAGTCACATAAATAGAATAGGATGAGAACAATAAGGTCGCTAGGGTGTTGAATGTAATGAAAAGAAGATATCGGATAGTATCAATAAAGCATGTTAAAGCCCTCAGGCTATAGAATTCTCTAAAATTTTGTATAAAATATATTTTCGCTCCTTAAAATATTCCTAAAGAAGTCCCTCTTTCACAATTCTAAATGATAGATTTAGCCCCACTTCTATGAGGTACCAACCGAACAACTCATCTTAACTGGATTATGTCATGAACAGAAAAGAGTGGTCACCGCAATCTTAAGTCTCTGAGTCTGGAAATCAAGACATGCACACAAGCAACCAATACTGCAGCAGAGACCCAGGCAAAATGTGCAATTATCAGAAACAACAAAAGGCAGTTGAATCACCAGATCTTAGTTTTGAGCCAAAAGAGGACGAACACCACTCCTAACACAATGGCAACAGGGGCCCACTTCCGAATCAAAGCCTGCAGTCAAAGTGTTAAAGAGCTTAGCATATTTCAATTACAGCACAGCAATTATGCATCTTTAGAACTTCTTCAAATCATATTGCAACAGCATTAAACTGCTTAAGGCACCCAAATTCAAAATTGAAATAAACAAATCATATTAATCTAATCTCACAGTTGGCAAAGTGATTGTTTAAAAGTTAAGAAGTCTTCATGAATTTCAACAAAGAAACCTATCATTTATTGTTTCATCATCAAATACATGTCCTGATTTTTAAGACCTGATGGAGTATTTCACAAAGACTATACACTGAGATTTTCTCCAACAATGTCTTTGTAAAACACAATTTGTTCACAAAAATCTATGCAGGTACCTGAATTTGTGCCAATTAAGAAGCATTTTCTAAGTTCAATCACAAGAAAATCCAAATACCAGAGCCAAATGGCCCACAAGAGCACAATAAACTTCATCTGAGTTATCAAATAAATTAAGATAACTAACCTGTCGATTCAAATCCTTCGCCTTTTCAGCATATATGCGTGACTCTGATGTTAACCGACTGGACATTTCACTAACCTCTGCAAAATTAATAATTAAAACATAACTTCAGCACAAGCATACGAAAGGCATACTTTACAAGTACATAGGGCGGAAATTGGATGCCATAATTCACACCCACAACTAAAAGACATTGAATGATTTAGTAACAACAATAGGGTGGAGATTGACAATTTTTCACCAAAATAAGACAGAGTGAAATTATGCAGACTACTTGACATAGACAACCATGCAGTGTTAAGATACATTCATCACTACAACAATAGTGCATTTCCAAATATCTCATTGAATTCTAAACCAGTAATCAACTTCAAAATCGAATACGCATCCAAAAAAGCAAATATACTCTTTCATTTTGCACTATTTAAATCATAATGTTAGGTACAAAAACCATAAAAATTGTATTACTATAAAAACAAAACAACACATGATATAACAGATTCAAATGATTACAAGAAAAGGAACTATCTTACGGTCCAACTTTTCACCAACACCAAGAACTTCCTGCACATTGCGAGTCATTATCTGGTGTACTTCATATAGTTCATCATTCAACTTAGCAATATTCCGCTGAGTACGAGTGTCCTGGTACAATTTCTTTGTTTTCTGTATGAATGTATCTTTAAACATGAAGACAACAAATAAAATCAAGCCCAGAGAAAAGCAACAAAAGCCATATTAAGAGAAAGATCAGGCACATGCTAAGGAAAGGTTAAAAGAAGTGACACCTACCAAATTTAATGAAAGCATAAGGTCTGGCTGCAGTTTCAATCTGTGCCCCATTAACACGCTCAAATTCATTCTTTAGGTCTTCCAGATACTGGAAGGCAAGCTTCTTGGGGTAAGCACGGTCACACATTGTCAAGTAACAAACACGTCCTTCAATGATATAACTAGAACTTGGGTCAAGGAAACACTAAGATTTAGGTGCACTTCCTAAAAATTAGAACACTGATGTAAAGAACTTACAGAAACCAAATTTCATTTCCTTTTCCACAAGCCAATTGTTAAGTAAATGTTTTCAGTATAAATTAATAACATAACTTGCAGACTAATGTTGTTACCACTTTTCACATAAAAGTATAAAAATTAATTCAACAACCACAGCTACATCAACTAAGCATCTCATCATTACTATGAAACTACCATTTATAAAGCAAAAGCATCCTTTACCCACCCCCAAGTCCAGATCTAGTAAAGATACAATCAAGAGATGGCATGACACTCTGCTCGAGAATACTACTTAGTAAAGGACTAGGAATTAAATGGAAAATGAACTCTATAGATGAACACACTATCTAAGAAGCACAACTAGCATTACATGATTAACAATCAGAATTTACATCAACTGAACATGCACGATGATAAACAATTAAAAAGCAATAACAAGAACATCTGAATAAAAGAAAACACAAGGATACTGAAAAACATAAGGTCCTGTCTCAACCGACATCCTTGAAGCTTCATTCTGACCTTTAGAAAGATTCTTAAACAAAGCCTTCACTTGCTGCTTGTACATCTCAGCATCTCTCAAATCACGCCCGTCATCCAGTCCCTCTGCCAATGGCAGCCCATCAGTAACACGCGCAATCATAGTCATCTTCACCATTTTTACCTCACTTTACAATTCCTCAGCTACACCAATTCACTGTTGCCCCAATTCATTGAGCCATCAAAAACCCAGATCCATAAAATGGTAAACAACCAAAATTAGCATTTCCCATCATTATTTTAACATGTAGTACACAAATTAAAAACCAAATACAACTTCCAATATTTCATTTTCTTTGTCCTACTTACTTCCTAAGAACGCTTAAAATCTCTCAATTCCCAAATACCATTCCAATGCACCACACAATTTGCATAATCACAATCAAAACATAACTCATCAAATCAAAATTCACATGATCCAACACAAACCCATCCAAGCAAACCCTTTAAGCCAATCAAATCAAGCAATCACAAACATTTAAAAATACCTATCAAGTAAATCATGCAAAGCCTCTCCATTTCAGCTGTTTCAGTCTCAAATTTTGCAGAAAACCCCCTAAAAATCAGAGCTTTCCAACTCAAATACAGAAATAAAAACATACATGCGTATAAATACCTGTTTTGCATTTGGGTTTTTCTCCGCGGATTCAACGATCTGAGGAAGAGAGAAGACGAGGGCCGACAGAGCGAGAAGTTTATACAAATTTAAAGGGTTTTTTCGTAAATGAAAATTTGTGTTTCTTTATATTGTCCGGTTGCAGAGTCAGCGCTGATATGAGTTGTACATTGAGAAATTGGGGGTGAAATTCAAAAGTACAACCTGGACCTGCAGTGTTATTGTTACTAATCCTAATTCTCAACCTTAACCCCCTTTATAATTAACCAATATTATACTTATAACTTTTTCATATAATTTAGACGTGACATATCGTGATTGGTTAGCTTATAATAGATCTTGTCTGCCTAAATACAAACTCACCAATCGCGAACTATCACCTTAAGATTATATAAAAAATTATATGAAAAAGTTATAAGTATAGTTTTATTATAATTAAATTACTAAAATTTGTTTTTTCATATTTTTAAATAAAATAAATTTAATATATATTTTAAGACAATGATATCAAAGATTATTAGGAAAGTGCTTCTTGTTCTTTCTAAATACATATCATATATATCCAAAAAAATATTTTGAAAAGAATATTTCAAATATTTAATTGTATTTTTTTATTTAAAAAAAAAGGTCATTAACATCTTCAAACATATTCATATTCAATGGCTATTTGATGTGAGGAAAGAGATTGTTATTAGGAGAGTTTAATTGGAAGATTAATTGAGAAAATGGTTAGATATTTAGCTGGAAAACTAACTAACAACTAGTATCTTGTTTGCAATAATTTCATGAATGAATGATAAAATGGGTTTGGATAGAATTCACTCCCAAAAGTTAATTCAAAAGAGGAGGAAGCATAATCACGTATATATACTTGGCGATATGTGACAAATACAACTTCTAACATGGTCCCTCACATTTGTTCTGCGAGACCAATGTCCAAACCCAAACAAGGACATACCATCGCCCCAAACAAATGTGGTTTTAATACTGTTGATGCTTGATTTTGACACCAACGACTCACACGTGCAAAGTACTAAGCGGACTTAGAAATTACATGTGATATGAGAATATGCAATGAGAGAATAAATGAGAAGCGGTTTTTAAAGTGGTTCGAATGCTCCAAAGCGAATCATATGTCCACTGCAGTTGTATTAATAGATGGATACAATCAGGTCGTGTATGGCGAGATGAGTTACAATTTAGAGAGAAGATAAAGAAAGAGAGAGAAAGAGTGTGTAAGTTTTTTTAGAATAAGATTAGCCAATCCCGTAAATGAAAGGGAAGTCCTCTATTTATAGTGGGAGAATTCAAGGTAATGATTACAAGTCTGCAAGTGGGTAGGTGTCGTGCAAGTCTTTCCTTGCATCCTATTGGTTATCTGCCCGAAAAATATCCTCAAATTGCGTAGGACTTGGACAGGTGGACGATCTCTAGCCACTAGCAAGCCTAACATTCACTTGCTACACTGACAAGAAGCACACCTCTTATGTCATTGCGCAACGTGGCAACATCTGGATGACATAAAACCTTCTTGAATCTTGATTGACTCTTGCGGACGAGAGTCCACATCAGTCCTAACTTTTTAGGCATAACAGATACTATGATAAAATAGGTTTGGATAGAACTCACTCCTTAAAAGCTAGCTTAAAAGATGAGAGAATTCAACCACATAAATACTTGACGGGATAAATATAACTTCTAACAATGAACATGCAAAAAATGTGAAAATTATTGGTTAATGAACATCAATTGGTCACAAAACTAATCCACTCATTCTTGGTGGGATACTTAATTGAAATAAAATAAAAATATACATATCTAGCTCATTTCTACCAATAACCCTTATAATGTTAGCCATTAAGCTTCAATGCCCATACATCACCACATTCTTCTATCATAATTTTGTAAAAAAAGATGAAGAAAACTTTGTAAAGGTAATACATTAATTGCTTTTTATCTACACTTTCCCTTATGAGAAAGATTACAAATGTCACATCTCAACCCGTGAGGGTTAAAAGGGGTGGTCTTGTATATTAAGGCCCTGTTTGGCTTAATATTTTTATCCATATTCTGGATCCTATTCTCCAAATAATGTTTGGCACATTATTTCAGAAATATTATCCTATTTTTTAATTACTTTTAGACCCCATAAGGTTATTAATTTCACTAAATACCCCCTGAAAAAAAAGTTTAAAAATTAACAAAAACACCCCCATTAACCCAACTTGTCAGATTCCGACAACCACCGTCGATGATTGCCGGAATCTGTACAACGGCCTAAATTCCGACCATAAATGGCCGGAAGTTCACCGATCTGGCCTTTTCCGGCCAGATCCACCACGGATCTGGCCGGAAAAGGCCAGATCTGGCCGCAGCGACGGCCAAAGAAATGGCCGTCGTTGACGGTCAACGACGGCCAAATCTTGGCCGCTGACGGCCAAAGATGGCCTTCATTTGGCCTTTTCCGGTCGTCGACGGCCATAACAGACCGTAGATCTGGCCTTTTCCGGCCAGTTCCGTGGTGGATCTGGCCGGAAAAGACCATAAAGACGTGTTACGGCACAGATCCGACCGGTCTGTGCCGTAACGAAATTTTCCGGTCAGATTCCGGCGGTGGTGGCCAGAATCTGGCACTGCAGATGGTGGGGGTGTTTTTGTCATTTTACATATTAGGGTCTTTAATTAAATTAGTAAACTTAAGGGCTTTTTCATAAATTTTTAAAACTTGCCTCGTAATACTCCCCTATCCAACAACCCAATACTATCCTTAAAATCCTACCCAAAATACTAAACCAAACGCACTATAAATTTGTATGATTTTTGTTTGAGGAAAACCACTCATTTAACCCTAACAGATTGGGGCGTGACAACAAAGATTAGAAATTGAATCCTTGTTTGATGGTCTCTCGTTATAAATAGCTCAATAAATAACGTCTATTTTGGCATTACAAGGTCTCACGGTTTTATTCTTGAACTTCAAGCCTTATCCTCACATAGAATAATTTGAAACTTCACGATACAACACATCTCATCACGATAAAGCTTAATGTGTTATAAATAACATAAGCAAATATTATCTATTTTGATATTACAAATTTTACGGTTTTGTTCTTGAGTTTGAAACTTGAAATCCATCTATTGACACTAACCTTAGTACCTCACACAAGAGCAATGTGAGATTTCAAATCTTACCCCCTCTAGTTTTTTGTATTTCTCAACTTTTATTGGTATAACAAACTCTTACGAAAAAGGCAAGATTGATAATCATATATAAATGATGTAATGTATTAGTTTTTTTATAATTTCCTTTTTTAAAATATTTTATAAAATTCAGAAGTTAAAAAAAGAAAAAATTAAAAAAAAACAAACATAGAGAATCTAAAGAGTCTTGGAGACTAAGTTTTTTCCTGGAATGACTCAAAAGCATTTAAATTAAAAGCACTGTTTTTTTTCTCTCTCCCTCCGTGGATCATCACTTCACTTTCCTGAGTTTCCTCTGCCTTCTCTATAAATTTTAACCTAAGTTATTTTTTATGTTCTTCTCCCAAGCAACAACAAGACCGTAGTTAAAATTTTATAATCTGTTTATCTCCACACTTATCTTCCCGCCAAATTCCATCTTCTGCGTTGTGTTTTTATAAGATCATGAGTCAGCAGAACACCAGAGGAGGATATTCGGGTTCTAGAGGGAGATCTTCACGTCCAAATAGTGGTGCTTTTCACCATCAAAGACATGTAACTTTATCAACTCACCACCTCTTTTGCTTTTTGGTTTTAAGTAAATTATGTTTTTTCGTGTTTGTTTTACTTTGATTTTGAGGATTCTTAGTTAAAGATTTGGTTTTGAGAGATGGGTTTGTTTCAATTTTTTATTTTTAGTTGTTGCTGAGAAAGAACTGAGGTTGAAATTAATTTTTGGCTCAAGGGAATATATGGTATTCGGAATAAAATTCGGTAATGTTACAGTTCATAAATCTATTGATTGATTTATGAAGTGTTTGTATTCATATACTAATTATATTTTATCTGTTTATATTTATGATGATGGTGTAAAAGTTGATACTTTTTGCGTTTTAGTTTGTTGTTTTTGAGATTATCTTGGTTGTTTTGCTTGTGTTCAATGCCCTTTAAGAACCTGACATGCGTGTCAGATTTAAGACTTGTTAGACATTTGTTTTCATTAGACTGTTCTTAATTACTAATTAACTAAAAAAAATTTAAAGAGCTGTTTTCTTTTGGCTTTAAGAAACCTATCACCAATGAATTTCTAGAATTAACAAATTTTGATTGCCCATATGTCTTTTCACTCTGTATTTCTTGTTTGCATGTTACAGTGAGTGAATGTTTACGGCTATATGTTTTTGTATCCTGAAAGCCGTTTTTGCTTTTGTTCTTGTGACGCCCAATCCACTTTGTAGTTCTTCTTCGTCTGTAATTCAAGTCTTATGCTTTATATATGTATGTATATAAGGCTATATATGAGTTACTGTTATGGAAGTACTTTTCATAATAAAGTTGTTTCTCTCTTTTTTTTTTTTTTTTTTTTTTTCTGGGGAAAAATGTAGGATGGAGTGAATAAGCCTTTTGCCAATGATTCTTTTGGCAGTAAGGATGGAATGTCTCAATGTAGAGGGAGATATTTGCATAATATGTCCCGAGGCAGTGGTTCAAAGCAGTTCAATGGTAAACCCAGCTCGAAATATGTGTACCGGCAGAAGTCACCTGCAACTGATGTTATTCCAAAATCTCCAGAGGCTGGGGGAAGTCAATTGAGACAGCCAGAGTGCTTTGTGGCTTGTGGGGATGGTCTTCATTCATTTACTGCTCAGTCTGATTCTAAGAACCCTACACCTGATCTTATTCAAAACTCACCAGAGGCTGAAAGGAGTCATATGAAACAACCTGAGAGCTTTTCATCACCAGAATTGGTCAGTGGAGCTGATCTTCCTATATTGCCTGTTCATTTTGATTCTAGGAACATACATCTGAATATGACTAGAATGCAGATCAAAGAAACCCCGGAAGAGGAGACAGAGGAAACTGCAACTGTGAATAATGATTTCTCATTCTCAGGTGAGGTAAAAGATGAATGGATGGGAGGTGAGCCCTTAGTACCTGCCATACATCTGAATATGACTAGAATGCAGATCAAAGAAACCCTGGAAGAGGAGAGAGAAGAAACTGCAATTGTGAATAATGATTTCTCATTCTCAGGTGAGGTAAACGATGAATGGATGGGAGGGGAGCCCTTAGTACCTGCCAAAGCTGATATTCAAGAACAGGCTTTCCAAGAAAAAGATGTCAAGAATTTGGCAGGCATTGGAGGTTCAGGGCCTTCTGTGCAGCAGGCGGTGATGTTTCCCTTAGATATTTGTCCACCTAAGACTGGAAGTTGTATTTCGCTTAAGCCTTCTCTTCTTGAAACAAATAAACTTAAACGAAACCAAGTCAAGCTTGCCATGGAAAGGCAATCTGGAAATGTGTTGAGGCCTGGGATGGTATTATTGAAGAATTATTTATCTATCAGTGATCAGGTACTGCTCTGCTCTTTTTTCTTTTTCTCTCTTTCAAGTGATATGGTCCCTCTTTCCCACTTATTTTGATACAGCCCATTCTATTAAATTCCAATACATGATAAAGGCTCCTGGCTACTGAGGCTTGGTTGTTATAGCATCCTCAGTCATCATTATGGTAGTGGAGGCTTTGCCTGGGTTCAAAATTGATTTGTATACCAACCCACCAACATATATGTGTCACCAAGACATATATCACCATATAGTTATCTCTTCTAGTAAATTGGAAATATGTTTTCTTTTATTAGGAAAATATGCTATTCTGCCAAATGAGTTGTCATTTATTATGGTCTCCCTTGCCGTTGTCTATTAATTTATTGTTGCTCCAATCTTCTTTTAGGTCAAAATATTGAAAGAATGCCGAAACCTAGGGCTGGGACCTGGAGGTTTCTACCAACCTGGTTACCGTGATGGAGCGAAATTGAATTTGAAAATGATGTGCCTTGGTAAAAATTGGGATCCTGAGAAAAGTGCATATGAAGATATTCGGAGTGTAGATGGTGCTAAACCACCCATGATTCCTGGTTATTTCGATCAGTTGGTTAGGAAAGCAATACAAGATTCCCATGCTCTCATAGGAAGAAATTCTGGAGTGTGGAACGTAGAAAACGAACTTCCAAGGATGTCCCCTGACATCTGTATTGTAAACTTTTATGCAGAAAGTGGGAAACTTGGTCTCCATCAGGTTTGTAGTGAGAAACATTATCATTCTTATTACAGTAGTCGCATTGTAACTTGGGTTCTTTATTTTTTGCGCTATTCGGAGGAAGTGTGTTTAATGTGTTACTCAAAATGAATATGGTATGAAACATTTTAGTTTGTCAGAACACTATCATTCAGATTGAATTTGTGAACTGATGTAAAATGTTTGTGACTGTTGACATCTCATACTTTCATGCCAATGCAGGATCGAGACGAATCTCAAGACAGTCTGGATAAACGTTTACCTGTGGTCTCCTTTTCAATTGGTGATACTGCCGAATTTTTATATGGTGATGAGAGGGATGTAGACAAGGCACAGAAGGTAAATTTGGAATCAGGAGATGTTTTAGTATTTGGTGGAAAATCTAGACATATCTTTCATGGTGTTAGTACTATCAGTACAAAAACTACCCCGAAGGCTCTGCAAGAAGAAACAAATATCATTCCCGGCCGTCTGAATCTTACTTTCAGGCAGTATTAATTGTTTTATGCTTGTAGCTGGGTCTTAGGTGATTATCTGTAAGGAAGACGTCTGGTCTTGCTGTAATTGATAACATAGAAAAGTTTGAAGCGGTATGTGTCTGACTTGGATACGCTATGGTAAATGAATGTTTATAGTCCGCAATCAAGAAGAACTACTGAAATATCATTACTGAGTTCTGATTAGAAATGTCTTTTCTTGCTTGTACAATTTCTATGTTGATTGATATGCTACGGGGTTTCGAATATTGAACAACAATCTTTCTCGATTCACCTTATTAAGTCATTAATCACATACTATCAATTACTTTCATTTACTAACAATCTTTGACCCTCCTTGATCCGCATCCAATCAACTGCATCAAAATTGGAGTTGCCTTCATCCTGCTGCTGGGGCAATCGTTCTCTGCGGACTGATCTCTAATGTCTGCCGATGCATCAGCCTCAATACAGTCCATCAAACTCTCGATGGTTTGTGAACTAAAACGTGAATGTGGTGGAGAAATCTCTTCTCTAGGCAGCTCTGCAACGCAATCTTTATTATCTCCAACTTCTGCACTGTTTAATATTCTTCCTCTTTTAAGAACATCTGTATGTGTTGATGCATTCATGCCTATCATAGCCTTGTAGATTTTGTGTTCATTAAGTTCGTTCAGCGAACTCCGTGAATGGCTTTTTCTTCTAACTATGGCAGGAGAATTGGAGTCCTCACTGGAATTACTGCTTGTTTCTGAGGAATTTGTGTTGACAGCTGATAACTCCGTTTCATAGGATCGAAAGCTTATAGACTTGTCCAGGAGCTGTGATCCTTTGAGAATGTATTCGTTTCCATGACAAGGATATATAAAATCATTCTCAGACAAGTCTTGCCACACATACCCATTCTTGTAGCTCCTGAATAGAAAATGAATCAATACCAAGGAAATTTAGGCGTAAAGAGATGAAGGGTGCAGTTTCTTCACAGAAGTTTACCTTTTAGAAGACCAGACATACATGTTTGCCATTCCTTGACCTCTGAGAAAGTTCAGTCTCTTTGTCACATCTAAAAAGCAATTATATTTAGTTCCCAGATAAAATTTTCAGTTATATGATCCGTAAATGAATATGGATATATGTATCAAATTACCTCTAAGATAGAGTCCTTCAGGAGAAGAAAGAGGGACCTCCATGAAATGAGGATGCTCAAGCTGGCCCTTTCTTGAAAGATAGTACACAACAGGAACTTTTTGCTCACTCTTCAGCTTTGGTTCAACCCATATTTTGGTTCTCTCAGGGCTTGTTATCTCAGCTCTCCCTCTTGAATATTTTGCCATTGTGCCTCCAAAGATAAGAAATGGTTTTCCAAAAGAGCACTACAGGAAGTTTCAATTCATATGAAATTCTCAAAAGAAGGTTTGTATAACACCCTTTTTATAGCAAACTAGAATCTGTCTGTTTTGAGCAAGATCAATATATTTAGATAACTAGGCAATTTGTTAACATCATAAACAGTTTCATGACGCATAATGTGGAAGAAAATTGAACACTGAGGACAATTTCATGAGACAAGTGGTGCAAGTGTAGGGCCAAAAGCCAACATGTTCCTTAAACAAATTGTGTCTTACTATAAGCTCAAGGACCCAAGTGAGATTATGACAAAAATCTCAAATTTCAATATGCAAAGTCAAAGCCAGTCCCGTGAACCCATGACACACTCTCAACAGCATATTCAAACTCATTGTTTGATCTTGATGCTTCACCATATCTATCATTACTACTATTTTATTCTTGTTTTATGTATATATAGTATCACATATTACCTGAAACTAAGGATTCTGCAGCCAAATTTACCTTCCAAAAGATTTAAAAATTGCAACTTGGGAAGATTTAGTCATGAGCTTTCCATCTTAAACAGTTGAAACATTTCTACTGGGTGAAAGAAGTTTCCTAAGTTCAATTCAGATTAACTTAAATCTCATTACTCGTTTATGACAGTTTATCTATAGGTTAAAAGAGTATCTTAAATATTGTGTTTATACGGGTTTTTATTTTTCAAATAGTCAAAATTGCTCAAAAATAGGAAGCATCCCACTTTAGATCTGTCTTAAAATTGGTTTGTGAGCAACTTTGAGCAAAGAAAAAATTTAATTTGTGCAAGGAAGAGATTTATTTATTATATAATCGCATTATTTGCAGCTTGAATGTCATCATGTGACAAACCAATTCACTTTAAAGAATAGAATATATAATTTTATATTCACTCTTTTGGTTCTCTTAGAGTTTCATTGCTTTTAGCTCTCCTACCAGGCCATGGTGGGTGGTCTTCCACAGCTTGGGAAAGGCTAGCTACTTTAAATTGGCATTTGGTAAGCCACAATTTTCCCATATCTGGCCAGTGTTTATTTACCTCTTGGACCCCTTTTTGGCAGCCAAACTTCAACAGTCAATTATCCAAAGCTTGTTGGACCAACATGCTTAAAGAACAATACATTCAAAAACGCTTATTTCATAAGCAAACCCCACAGGATCAACCACCACTCATCAACCAACAAAATGCATTCTTGCCAATCTCATTCGTGGGATCCAGGTCAGCATCAGTAATATTCCTATAAGTACACCTCACAACTTAAAAAATATAATGTCAGTTACATGTGTATCCCATTATTACCCATTATGACCCATGCTTTGTGTAGATAACATTAAGCCACCCCTCTATGTGTTATAGTATGTGTTTAACCTGTAAGTTTCACCAGAAATGTGGCTCAGGAAAGGAGAGGGGGAAAGTTTGAGCCATGCTGGAGAAGCAGGGCACATGCTAAATCTGTTAATTTTGGGATTTAGCATGTGCTCTAGCTCTCCAGCTTGGACTTTCTCCCTTTAAAATTACAAGCTTGCAACAATGGAGGAAGTTCTTCAGATTAAAGGGTAAGTTTAATTTCTTTGTAGTTAATATTTTAACTTGATGTTTAAGAGATGCATATTTGAAGAAGTCTATAATGGAATTAAAAATGTGGCACATCAATGTCACACTATTACTAGAGTTGGACCATGGATGGCCTTATTATTTCAAATAAGTTTATACATGAATTGCAATTTATATATTTATGATAGACCAAACTGTCAATCAGTATAATCTTAGATACTATAAGTTATTCATCAACATTATATCACAAATAAGGTAATAAAAATTATTTCCCTTTCAGTTGAATCAACCTCTATCAGACCTGTTCTCTAGAGCTGAGGCTGCTGAGTCCACATGAAGGAGCAAACAGGCATAAACCTTTTTCTTCAACCCTTCAATAGTCTCAACTAAGGCATTATTTTCTGAGCTCAAGTTTCTAGTTTGTTTATCCAACCATTCATTAGCATGCTTGAGTTGTGATAATGTGACAGCAATGTGGTTATCTTGCTCCATTAACATTCTTCCTGCATTGTATTTTCCTTTCTTCTCCTGATTTCCCCCTCGAAAACCAGCATCCAACGCTGCCTCCAAGAATTTGAAGAACCAATTTCTTGTTTCACTTATGAGGTTCTCTCTCATTTCTTTGATCTCTTTCGCACCATCTCCTTTAGCCCATTCAAGTTTCTCATTTCCACTCAACTCTATTGAAGTCTTAGTAGAATACTTCAATGTGCTCTTACCATTAATTAGACTTGTCTTTTTGCTAAACTTTTCTGTCTCTTGAGAAGAATGGTGTGTGGATGACTGAAGTGATTTATCCTTTAATGGGGATGTGACATTCGGTTGATCAATGAGCTGTTGGAGTGTGAAAAATTTGGTGAGAGAGGTGTGAGGGTTCTCTGGTGAGGCAGAGGAACATAGATCAGCAAACAGACTGAAAGAAATGAACAAAGTTAGAAAATCAATGTCACAAAATACAGTTCAATTCAGAAGAGAAAAACAAATATAGATGCATAAACCTGAGGCACTTGACAAGATTTGCTGATGTAGATGCCTCCTTTTGAGCTTCTGCAGCAACCATGGAAGCTAAATTTCTCCTCCTAAGCATTCCCTTGTAAATAGATAAAAACAAACAAGAGAAAATAACTATCATGTAACAACAAACAAGAACCTTGGAGAATGTGGAATATTTTACATACCTTTCCTTGCTTCAAGAGATTGGCAGGCAAAGAGGCCCACGATATCATCTCTGGAGAATGAGTTTTATCTTTACTGTTTGACAGAAAATTCAAGGTCATGTTTTCCTGTCTACTTGAGTTGTGCTTTGCAGGCATTTTCTTGGAAGCCATCACGGCCTCCTTAATGTCAGAAACAGCCCCCTCTGGCCTTGATGAAGCTGCAATGGATCGACTTTGCAAAGGAGTCTCCGGGCGTGCCTGCAGTACCAGTACCAAGCCTTGTCACTAACCTAGTTCGTTTTATACTAAAAAGAGGAGCATACTTTCCTTATGATGTTAATTTCGTTTCAATCGTTCAATACATGATGTGCTAAACATCGTAAGGGACATAAAGCAGGAAGGTACCTAGAATTAGCAAGTCCTGGAGCTAATAATTTGTGCATGAATCATACCTGACCTTTAAGCTGATCTTGGTGCTTGCCTTTTGATGAACCGTTAACCTTCTTACCAGCTCCACCATTATCATTCTCATTACCCTTTCCATTACTATTTGAATCCAAGCCACTAGCCTTGGAATTCACTGTCAAAACACCCTGCATATACCTGGATGAAACACCAGCCTTCTCTTCTTTAATCACAATTTTTTGTTTTCTCGGACTCTCCTCTTTTGCTTCTGACACTTCCTTTATTTTTAAACCATTAACAACTCCCTCGTTCTGATCAACAGCTGCTGGACTCTCTGATGGCTCTAGAATTTGCATCAAATCTTTAGGATTACCAACAAAAGGGTTGCGCCCTGGCACCGGTCTAACGCCAACTAGAAGAGGAACCGGTGTCCCAGCTTCAACTCTATCAACATAAAAGAACTGTCCAAGTTGCAACTTATTGTTCAGTATAAGCTCATTGTCTTCCTTTGATAGTGAAACATAAGTTGAATGTGAAGAGTCTGATACTTTGATAAAAAAGCCTTGATTAGGCCACAATTCTGATCCTGTTAAAGCTGGCACAATGCTGATAACTTGCAGAAGCACTGATCTATACTCGCCGCGAACTTTTACATTAGAGTTCACACTCTGCAGAAGCTTTAACAGAACTCCTGGTGTAAGAGATGCCATTGATATCCACTCTTGAATCCCAAAGTTCTAGCAAATGTTGCATCAAGGTGTTAATAGACATAACAATAAGAAAACTTAAAAGCTTCATGCACCCAAAAGAGCTTAGAATAATTTGAGTTAAAGATATTATACCTCACAAATAGAACACCAGAAAAGGGTGTGAAAATGGGAGCTTCAGAAAGTAAAATGCATGGAGTTGTAACAAGAAGTGACCATTGTCAATGAGAATTAATCTCTATAGCTTTGCATGTCAGGCAAGTTAGCATCAACTTCTCTTGGCTTCAAAGCCAAGGAACAATACTTACATGTGAGAATTTTGTGCCCCTTTTTATGTGACATGAAGTGACAAATATGCCCATGTGTAAGATCATTATGTGAGGGGATTGTTGTTATGTTCAGTGGGTGTTTATGTCATTTTGTTGTGGATCACTTTCTGGTCGCATTTCTCTTTAAGGTAAGAGGAAATGGAGTTTTAAGAAAAGGTGAGGATATTATAATGTCACATTCTTGTATTAAAATTCAGTCTATGATTTGACCAAAAATTTTTGTATGTGTCTCTTAAAAGAAGAGAATTAACAAGGGATACTGCTTAATTAAGATTTTACTTTTAACTAGAAACTGTGATGGAGATTCAGCCAAAAGCCAAAAAAGCTTGAAAGTTTCAAAAATAGAGTAAACAACTCTTTTTCCCACCCAAAAAGTTTCAAAATATCACTTTTCCATCCAAAGTTTATATTATGTCACTACCCAAAGCCGATTCTGGCCGATTTCGGCAGCGAAAATTCTTTATGTTACACCATTTGAACCTCCAATTTCCTCTCTACAAAACCCCTCTCACTCAAGCATTTGATTTCTCGTTGATTGTCGGTCACTGTAAAGTTAGGGCTTCCTATTCTTAGTTGATTTCCAACTGCTTCTGACGACGAATATTTAATCGGTCACCACCATTCAATCCACTGGCCTCTACTCTACAAAACTCCTCTTACCTTAGCTCATGATAACTCGTTGAACACCAGCTGAGAAAGTGAGGTGTATTTTGAGTATTAACATAATATAACATTTGAGTAGAAAGGTGATATTTTGGAACATTTTGGGTGGAAAGGTGTCTCTTACAGAGAACCTTGGGTGGGAAAAAGAGGTTTACTCTAAAAAATAAGTGTCAAATTCGGTCCAATCAAGTTGATAATGTGCGCCCAAATATTATCCACTTTAGGTGGATGCCGACACTCGAAGCAGAAGTCGATATCGCTTGCATAGTTGGTTTGCTTTTGGACTTTATGCAAGCGTCTTTCATCCACCCTGCAGCTTTCACCTAAAACGTATCTATTGATTAATGAGGACCCAAATCATATAAGTTAAATCATAAACTTATTCATTATCGATTTAAAATGTAATAATAAAGTAGTTTGAAAGGTAATATTTGATTAAACTTGTGCATCAAAGCTTGCATTGAGTAGACCTTAACTAGAACTCAGAAACCAAAAGCCAGATTAAAAAATTTCCAGTGGACACACAGCAGAAAAATAGAAAGCATACCAACCGTTCAGTCACCAAATCCATTACCAAAAATGTTGCTCCTAACAAGATTCTATTCTGAAATGATTTATATAATTAATAAAATTGATCCAATTTAGAAGGAATACTAGCAAGTTAATCAAATTTGCTGTGGACCAAGTTCATCAGTTTACACATTTACTCTTACAATAGAATAGACTAGTTGGTCATGCAAATGCATTGGCTTCAGTTTCAGCTCGGACCAAGCTAGCATAGACACCATTGAGGTGGGAGGCCAAGAGGGTGTCATGGCTGCCGTACTCCACCACGGCGCCATTTCTTACGACAGCGATCGTGTTGGCTTCTCTGATTGTTGAGAGGCGGTGAGCCACCACAATGGTGGTGGCCCTCTTGGATACCTTCCTAAGTGCATCTTGAACATGCTTCTCTGACTCTAAGTCTAATGCACTACTTGCTTCATCTAGAAGCAACACCCTTGATTTTTTGAGTATAGCCCTTGCTATTGCAATCCTTTGTTTTTGGCCACCAGATAATTGAGCTCCACTCTCGCCAACCTGCATAATAACAAACGGAAGCTCAGAATCAAAATCATTCGTACATGACCCTTCACTTGAACAAGTAACTGAGAATTAGACAAACCTGTGTTTCATAGCCTTGAGGAAGGCTACTGATGAACTTGTGTATGTAAGCTTCTTCTGCAGCTTCTTCAATTTCAGCCCATGAAGCATTTGGGTTCCCAAGTGCAATATTTTCTCTTATACTCCCAGCAAATAATGCAGGTTCTTGACCAACCAAAGCAATTTGCCTCCTCAGCCACTTAACATTGACCTCTCTCAAATCCACCCCTCCAATCATCACCTTCCCTTGATTTGGATCATAAAACCTTTGAATTAGCCATATGACAGTTGATTTTCCTGAACCACTTCCTCCAACTAATGCCACCATGCTTCCACCTTTGACCTTTAAACCAAATTCTTTTAGCACCAACACTTCAGGCCTAGATGGGTATGCAAAGGTTACCTTTTTGAAGTCAACCTCCCATGGTTTGGATCTTTCAACTTTCTTACCTCTTTCCCTATCATTGTCGATCATTGGCCTACGTTTAATGATGTCAAGAACAGAAGGAATAGCTGTACCTGCCATGGATGTATCCGGCGCCAGACCAGCCAATTGTCCAACAGAAAATGAACTTAGCACAAGAATGAGGAAGATTTTGTATACCTCCCCAAAATTTCCTTCGTTTATTGTCACAAGGTAAGCACCAAACCAAAGAATCATTGTGTATGCACCATACATTGCACCTTGAGAGAAACCAAGTGTTAGGCCTAGAATTTGTGACTTCTGTACTGATTTTTTCCTTGGTTCTGATAAAGCTCTATCAAAGGACTTAACTAGCTCGTCTTGAGCAGAAAATGTTGTTACTGTTCTTATATTTGAAACTGCACCAGAGGCAATGCTGCTAGCTTTAGCATAGGCATTGTTATCTAGTTTTGGTCCAATGTTAATGATCAAGCTCAAGTAGCTTGCACCAAGAGTGAAAGGAGTGAGAGCAGCAGCCAAAAGTGTGAGTCTCCAATTAAGGAAAAATGACACTCCAAGACCAACAGCAGCTGAGCTAATACCCATGAACAATACTGAGAATCGATCACCAAGGACTGACCTGAAGCTGAGGCAATCAATTGAGAGCCTTGACGCAAGAACTCCTGTGGAATTCTCTTCAAAATCAAACCAACCAGGTTCTTGTTTCAGTATTGAACGAAACAAAAGGTCTCTGACTCTCATTGTGAGCCTTGTTCCAGCCCAGCCACAGAAACCTTGCTGGAGTGTCATGAAAGTTATACACCCAAAACCAAGCCCCAGCAGTGCTAAAGAGAGGTAACCAACATCTCTTTTCAACTTCGATGGGGTATCATCGAAGTAAACCTGTAGACCTTGGCCTAGAATCAAAGGAAAGATGGAGAGAATAGCACCTGCCAGCATGCCCATGACAAATCCTGGTAAAAGCATGGTAACCTCAGGTCTTTGTAGATTCCACATCTCCAAAAGTTTGAATTTTCTAGGCCTTGGTTTTTGTTGAGCTTCCTCGTCTACTTGGTTCTCTTCTTGCATAGATTTTAAGTACTTAGATCTTGAAATCTCATTTTCATACTTTGATCTTGATACATCATTAACTGATTTCTCATACATGGAAAACTCCATGCTCTTAGCGGATTTTTCTTTTGATAAAGGTTTTGACAGTGCTTGAGAAGCGAGCTTGACAAGATCATAATAGGCCCCAGTCTTTTCCATTAGTTGACGATGATCACCAATCTCAACAACAGAGCCACGATCAAGAACAACAATTGTGTTGGCATTTTTAACTGTTGCCAACCTATGAGCAATGACAATGGTTGTCTTTCCAGCAGAGATCTTGTCAATGGCTTGTTGCACAATGGACTCAGACTCCGCGTCTAAGGCACTGGTTGGCTCATCTAAGAGAAGGATTTTAGGGTCTTTGATCATGGCGCGAGCCAGTGCAATGCGCTGTTTTTGGCCCCCTGACAGTTGAGTTCCTCTGTCTCCAACCTGCTTGCATTTGTAGCATATAAACAATTTATTATGCAAATGTACGTAATTTTTTAATTTATGTTTGTGAGAATGTCAGTGTCATTGTACCTGTGTTTCATAGCCTTGTGGCAGCTCAGAGATGAATTTGTGAGCATTGGCAGCTTTGCAAACGGCAATTGCTTCTTTTGTGGTGGCATTCTCCTTACCCATCATAACATTTTCCAATATGCTGGTGGCAAAGAGAACTGGTTCCTGGCCAACCATACCAATCTGCCTTCTTAGCCATTGGACTTGCAATGACCTTAAATCATGGCCATCCAAAGTGATCACACCTGCCAAATTGTTAGAAACCTTAACTAAATTAGCACTCTTAATGATGCAGTTCATGTTGGAACCTTTTTAACTTTGTGATGACAAGAAGCTTACCCTTAGTAGGATCATAAAACCTTTCTATGAGAGCAAAAATAGTGGATTTGCCACCCCCACTAGCCCCGACAAGTGCAGTAGTCTTTGAAGATGGTATAACTAAATTGAGAGACTGGAGAATTACAGCATCCGGACGAGATGGATATACAAAAGTAACCCCCTTGAACTCAATCCTTCCCCGGACACTTGATATTGTCCTGCCAATGTGGTTGTAAGGATCTATATCTGGAACTCTGTCTATGATTCCAAACACACGACCAGCTGCTACAGTGCCTTGTGCGAATTGAGCAAAATATGACAGTGACAATGCCAAGCCCCTGGAAATTAAATTGACAATGTTTCATCTCTTATCTTGGAGGAAAAACTCACAGCTGTCTATACAAAATATTGAAATGATAAAACAAAAAGTTCATTACCTTCCACCTACATTGACACCAAAGAAACAAGCAATGGCTGCACCTCCAGTGATTTCTTTCCTAGCAACTAAGAGAGACCCATACCAGAAAGCTAATGCCCATGTTGCATAAGTAACCAAATAGATAACTCCTATTCCCCCACCCTTAGCAAATCCTATCTTTATTCCAAATGGTAAAGATTTTGACAATAAATCAGCATATCTCGAACCCAAATGATCCTCTGCAACGAAAGAAAATACTGTTCTGATTGAACTAATTGCTTGCTCTGCAACGCTGCCAGCTTTTCGATATGTGGCCTTCAATTTTATTATCGAAAAATACATACCAAGTTAAGAACAATTAGGTTAACTAATAACATGATGTAATGTACTTTGAAAACATGTTAGTCTATGCTACTTTTTACCTCTTCCTTTGAAGCTAGACCGACATAAACAGCCTTATAAGCAAGGCCACAGAACATCATTAATGGGGTGACAGAGAAAACTACAAGCGATACTTTCCATGAGCGTGTGAACCCAACTGTATAACCGCAGATGAAGGTAAAGATTTGATGAATGAAATGTGCCATCTGCATAAGATAAAATGTTACATAGTAAATCAATGCCTTTTGAACTCATAGGACAGATAAATTTATCTTCAAATAGTATAGAGTCAAATGGAACAATTTTTCAAATGATAAGCTACTCCTTCATAAATAAATTCAATTATGGTAAGAAGTGCCATAGCACAATCGAGATTATTTGTAAGCAAAATAAGAGAGGAAATTAAGGGGTTTACCTTTTCTCCCATAACTTCTTGGATTTGTGCAACATCACTTGAAATTCCATGCATAAGCTCACTAGTGCTGACTTTAGTGTCAAAAAAACCGATATCCTGCCGCAGAACTGCTCTTAGATACATGGTTCTTATTCGCTGAGTTGATCGCTCCCCCACCAATCGCCAACAGGTGATCTCTGCCATTTCAGTGATCAGAACTATCAACTATTGCACTTCAAATGTGTGTATAACAAGAACAAAGTTCTGTGAAATTAAAGTTAATGCTATAACTAATCTTTCTCTCACCCAAGTATGCTCCCACCACCACTATTGCTGCAAATCCAATCATTTGTAAACATATCTGAAGATCAAACAGAAAAAAATAAAAACATCAGAAATTTTTTTCAGTTATTATCACTTTTATAATAGTATCATCCTCAGCGGCAAATATTAAGAAAAAATCGATATTCATACCTTGTCTACACCCTTCATCATCTGCTCAGGTGATTCAGTAGCAATTTTATTCACAAAATTTCCAAAAAGAAAAGAGTACCAAGGAAGAGATCCTCCATTAATCAGAGCCCCTAGGCAACCCAAAATTACAAGAACTATATCCAGTTTTGTTGAGTACTTAAACAAGCTAAACAAACTGACTGGCTTTGCTACTTCTTGATCATCATCCTCTTCATCGTCCTCATCATTGTCAACTGAAACCAGTTCAACGTCCTTGTAGCGATCATTACCACCGCCATAATGATGACTAGTTGATTGCCAAGCAGTGTGACCATGACGCCTATGCTGCAACTCATCTTCAAAATTGTCCATTTTGTGCCTCATTTGATGGCGCCCACCATGTGAAATACCATGATGATCAACATGACTAGCACCATCCCCATCATCTTCCATATAAGAACGTGATACTGAATGCCAGCGGGGATCATTATGTCTATGGTGATGATGATCAGTGTTTGATAAGTGAACCTGCTTCTCCACATCCTCCATTGTGTCATAATCAATCATACTCAGTTCATCTTCATTAGCCAGTGGACTAACAGGTCTACTACTAGTTCCCTCCTTAATAATTTGCAGTCTAGATATTCCCTGATGAGACTTACCATGACCACCCAAATTGTGTTCCTTGCTAAACAAGGTACTGTCATTATCCTTAGCAACAAAGCTTTGGAGTTCAAGCCTCCCGGAAGGCACTGCACTATAGCTAGAATCGTCGTAATACGGATTTGTACGGCTCTGAAATCCACCAGAAGTACACGAAAGATAAAAGTCATGAGCTGATCTTCTAAAAATATTACTGTTCACTGGGGTGGTAGTTGCTGTCCAAGGGCTTAAAGCTGCTCCCAAGGTTCTGCTATCCTGCCAACCAGAAGGCTCAAATTGCCATGAAACCTCCCCTTGCCAGGACATGTCATCATCCCTGGCAAAAGGTGTGGCTGGAGTAGGAGGGCGTATTCTACGTGGAGCATGATTGCTGGATGACGTGTGGCGAGAGCTGAATGGTGAAGTAGAACGTGACACATAGCGTGCACTAATGGGTGTAGTGTGGCGTTGGCGGCGATAGGTGTGAGAGGAGGAGTAATCAATATCGAAGGAAGAGTCAGCCATGAATGAGAAATGTGTGACAAGTTCTGAAGAAAGAAAGTGAAGAACAAGGAAAGATGGTAATATAGAGATGATGGAGAAAAGAACAAGGGTGCCAACCTGGTATGGAGTTAAACACTATGAGGGTTAGTTTAAGTCAATGGAAAATGCATACTCTTTCTGTTTTGTAGTATAATCAAAATTCTATAAAGACAAAATTAATCAGTGGTCAGAAAAGAGTTTCGATATTCCCACTCTTGTATGCGTTTAAGATTCTTAAGATAATCAAAGTGTATGCCTGCAAAGGCTACAAAGGTGCATAGAAGTTTCAATTATTTTGCCTGGAAAACATGCCAGGCCGCCAGGCCGGCCTTCTCAATGTGTAAATGGTTACAAATTGCAGATAAACACAGCTCATGACAATCTATCAATCAAAAGTCATTTACAAATCTAATAAAAAAATCCCATTTAATCTGTCCTTTGTTGATATCATCTGGTTCCATAGTGACTCTGACGTTTGTGAATGTTTTGTCCGATAGAATTCTGGCTCTTCCTATATTTACAGATGCCAAATTGTCATTGTCTCTCTATTCCTCTCTACTATATGTCACCAAAGGATCAAAATAACATGGGTTCTCCATTTGTCATCAAAAAAATTGCTCAAAAGGGTTTGTTGCAATGTATTTTTTCTTAAACATGGTCTCTTTGACCAAGCAAAGTATTGCTTAGATCTTGGTCCCCTAAAGGCTACTTAAAAAGGGTCAAACTTGTTTTTGTGTTTAAAATACCAGATATAGAGAGGTATAATATCATATAACTGCTATTATAGTTGATATTAAAACTGAAGAAATGTTGTAATTTTGGTCCATTGAAGTTCTTATCTTGTTGCCTACACATATTTGATTGTTCTAGCCGTCCTACCAAACAAGAGACTTCAATGTAGAAAAGATTCGATGAGATAAAAATATAATAATCAAGCATTATACAAATGCTGGTTTGATGATAATGACAATTAAAGAAAAAAAAAATCATGATCTTCTGTAAATTTTAACTCTTTTTGTGATTGTTTAGGGAACCCTTTACTGTACTTACTGCAGAACCAAAAACACAAATAGTAAACAAGTGTTTAGGCTGCCTTTATACATTTGTGAAGAAACCAACAAGGTTCAACAACGGAGCTAACAAGATTTGAATGTAAGCACACTGGCAGTCTGGCACCGGTGAAAATACCGAGACATTTCAATAATAGGGCATATTTTTAAATCAACATTACTCGTATTTAAACCGATTGATCGGATCATGATCTAATCAATCCTTTAACTTGATTCAAAAGTCCAGCAGCTCAAGAAATGTAGTAGTACCAAATTGTTATTGCTATAAACTGCATAATGTAATTGAGGCCAAAACTGTTTATTCCAATAGATGATAAAATTACAGCAACAACAATGGAAGGAAAAGAAATGAAGATATAACAAAAGAATAGTTGAGTTTAACAAGCTAATACTCCGCATAATCACATCACTCTTCTTAAACTGCCAACGACATTGATTCTAACAAGAGTTTGATATACATCACGAGAAAGGAAGAGTTGCAAAAGAATACTGAATACCCTGGGCTACCAAAATCACAATGACAATACGCCAATAGGCGTATATCGTTCAATACAATATACAACATATATAGATGGCTTTATCGTGCCTACCTCAAGCATATCTACTTTATATTATATCGTCCTTTACACCCTACTGTTTAACAATGATACCAATCACTCCTGACTTCATTAAGTAAAATTTATCGGGGCTTCGAGTCACTTCCCTTGCTTCTAAATGTTGAGAGTGAGAAAAATGATCGTGGTGCTGCAAAATTTAGATATAGGTGTAAGTATGAATTGTAAGAAAGATGCTGAGCAACTTTATCACCAAGTAAACATGTTTTCCTTGACATTTTCACAGATTGACTCCGATATTTTCAGGAGTTTGATCACAGAATTATCAATTATATTCATTGATGAACCTAATCACTGAACAAAAGGGATTGTTTTCTTCACCTCCCCTAAACTTTGATATGTGTTCCCTGCTTAGGTATTACAATAGATTCTCTGTAACTTCAGAATTCAAAACCTCAAGAAGGATAAAGAAATTTCTATATGATAATAACTCTTCTATAACTTCAGGTTTAAAAGTTTGGACTTAGGACCACAGATACACTAAAATTCATTCTTCAATATTAGTAATTTTGAAGGGTGTCATTGATTCAAACTGGAGCGTATGCAGGGACAGATCCATTGGATCATAGTGACTGAGTCAGCAAAACCATAAGTATTCAGGAAAGTCTTTGGGAATCACACTGAACTAAATGCATTTATTGATTACAGCAAAATGAGAAAACTGTAAATCAATCACCTTTTATGGAGCTTCCTGACATATGGTCCTCCCTCAGCTTGAAGTTTGCTGGAGGCGCCGGGATAGAGCTATGTAAGGCTTGAACTGCAAGGAAAGAGAGTAACCATCAAGGTAATTTTACTCTTAAATTAACTAAAATATACAGAGTAGAGACTGAAAAACACAAGTTAAACTGTCATAGAAAGAGAAGAAGATTCAAATCCTAGTGCTTAAGACCCTGAAATAAAAAATAATTATTTTTTTAGTTTAAGTAGTTTTCTCTATATTTATGTATATACATACTAAAAATAAGAACATTCATTGTACATTGCAGGTAAGCTAAAAGACATAACTTCAAATAAGCTGGTCTGAGAAATCTTTTCCTCCGTTGAAGAGAAACTCATCAACATTCATCTCTATCGTGTTACAGAGAAATTTAATATATACTGCATGGGCAAATCTTAATACTATTCCAAATATATGCAAGAATTTAACCAATAACCATGCCTAGCAAATAACTGCAAAATGACTAAGAAATCAAGTTACCCTGTTCGTTGAACAACTCGCTTTCATTGAAGCCATCATCCGAAGGATGACCCTGCATGAACCCCATTCTGGACTTCCTCAAATCTTCTGAAGAACGATTGGCAAGATCCCTCCCATCTTCTGTGTCATCATCTCCTTCAGAAGTTGTAGCAGAAATCCAGTCGACCAAACTTTCTGTACCACGACTTTTCCTTCCAAACTTCAATAACCTCTTAAACCCTTTAGTCACATCCTTCCGGGACTGATTATGGGATGAATTCGAAGCAAGGAAAGGTTTCTGTGCACTGCCCCATTTTTTCCTCATGCGAGCAGCATCAGCCTCTGTTTGGGTAAGAGTATGGGAATTCCACGATGCAGGACTCCCAATTGGAGAGTCCATAGAGGCATCAATATCTGAGGTCTCATGAGGGTAAGAAAATGGATGATGCATGCGTGAGTTCCATGACACAGGACTTTCCCCTGGCGAATCTTGCAGAGACCCTACAGCATGGAATGTGGAAGGCAAGGGAGCAGGTAATTCAGCAACTGAACTAGGGTCAACTTGAGAAAGAGATCTCAAGGAATCACCATTTTCAGATCCAGAATTACCCACTTTGTCTGATTCCTGGCTCAGTCTTGATTTTCCATTATCTACGTCAATACATTCTTCAACCTCCATGGTTTCAAGCTCTTCTTCTTGATCATCCTCTTTGGCCATATCAGCTGAATCTTCAGCCTCAAAAGTCTCGTCATATTCTTCTTCATTTCTCAAAGCCTCTGCTGCCATTGAAGCTTTTAGCTTGGCGATACTAGCTCCAGCACCAGGACCTATGCCATTACCCTTTCTGAGGAACGGCTTTGACTCTGAACTTTTCAAATATTTTTCTTGGGGGCTCTGCTCACTTTGTTCTTCATCAAATTTCAAAGGTGCCAACACAACATCATCAGAATTTAAAGGGGCCACATCAGAAAACTCCATAGGACCAGCAGAACTTTTTCTTAAAGAATTTGACCGCCTGGGCTTTTCTTCCTTGACAAGAGCTACTTCTTCACTAGTACTCTTGCTGCGGGCATAATTCCTCACCTGTGAACGGCTTGTCACTTTGCTGCCAGAATAAGGCTTTGTGTTTTCTTTTCTGAAGTCAGAAAAGTTGGGAACAGACTGTGCCAGAGGATTTTCTGATTGGGGTCTACGCCTTCCGGAACCAGAATTGGAAATTTTGCCCGATGACCGTGGAATTGGTGCTGCAGCCGTGCGAGGTGTAGATGAAGACATACTTCTATTAGGCAAAAGCTTCTTAGCTTGAGCACTTTTAGAAGCATTATCCCCAAAAGATGTCTCAATGAATGATCTATCTTGTCCATAATATTTCTGCTCAAACATTTCAGAAAGATCTTCATCTTCTTCGCTATGAATAGAACTTATAGGATGCTGTCAAAAGATTCACTCCATCAAAATTCTCTACATATAAAAGAATAAGGAAACTTTATAAAGCAAAAACCACAGAATAAACCACCAATATTGATTTTGTCAGTTTCAACACTTGCTACCCAAAAACATAAGCATGAAATACCTGCTCAATCTTCATAGTTGATCGAGAATTGAAGGATCTCAGTTTCTCAACACGCCGAGCAGTAGTAGCAACTGAATCCTGTCTGTCTAAGGAACCAGAAAATTTGGCCTTCATCTCAGCTCTGCTTCGCTCAAGACTGTCCTGCATGGCTTTTAACTTGGCTTCCTTTTCTACCCTTCTAGAACTCCACTCTTCCCTTAGTTTTGCATCTCTTTTCTGCATATACTTCTCATAAAATTTTCCTCTGGACTCATCAGACAAACCAAGCTCAGAGAAATTCTGCCTCAGGGAATCACCATAATCCTGATTGTCTGACATTTTCATTGGTGGAGTACTGAACTTTGCCATATTACTTGAACTCCCAGATCGTTCGATCACAGTGCTTTTGTCAGGCAATTGAGCAGGAGATATCTCAGACACTGTTGGTTTTCTGTAATGAGACTCTGCTACCTGCTCAATCTGTACGTCAGCAGGCTTGCTTCTCCTTGTGGAACTGGACTGATCCCCAGGAACTCGGAGCTTGTGTTCTGCAAAAAGCTTTTCCAACTCATTTGCCTTCATTTTCAGCTCGTCATTGAGTTCCTGATTTCCCTTTGACTGCCTTGATCTCTGAACTTGCTCAACCGGCAGTGTAGAGACAGCAGCAAAACCCTCTTGACTCTCTGAAACCTTTTTACCAGAAAAAACAGGCTTGCTATTTCCATAAACTGAACCACGTTCATCTCTCCTACCTTGCAACTTCTTAATCTGTTCAGGACCTGCAGCAACCTGTTTCTGAAACTTCATTCTCAGGTTTCCAGAATCTTCTGCTTTGATCTGTTCCCTTCCAAACACCAAGTCCTTCTTCCCTGCTTCTTCAACTTCTGTAAAAGATTTCCATTGTGGGTGAGATGCCAACTGATCAGCCGCAGACACTTTATCACGAGCTTCCCTGACTTTTACTCCAACACCACCTTCAAACTGTCCTGAGAGAGACCGTGTATGACTTTGAGAACCCCTAAAACGTGATTGAGACACTAGCTGATGTATCAGTTCAGCATCCTCTACTCTATTCCCAGTTTCACTATCAGAAGTAAAATCCCCCACTCTACCCACAGATTTTCCGGTCTGGATTCGCGAAGCAGCTTGGTCCTTCACCCCAACAGTCTCCTGGGAACTGGCTTGAACTTTAAACCGATCACTCTTCTCTCCACTACCTAAAGAACCCTTCAACTTCTCCTGAGAAACCCCTTGATCAGTCACACTAACCAGGTCATCCCTATCTGTGAAAGACTTGAGTTGATTCACTTGTGAACCCACTTGATCCTTCCAATGCTTGCCCCCCTTTGATCCCACCTGCTCCGGAACCCCCCCAACCCTCACTTGCCCCTCGCCTTGATCTTTCAGTCCAGAATCAGCAACTCTATCTCCACTGCTCTTAAAATCAACTTTCTCAGAACTTGCCGAATCAATTAAACCTTTTTGATCTTTCTGGTCCTTAATATCATCTGATACATCTGAAAACAAATTACTTTTGGACTGAGAAACAGACAATGAAGATGGTGTACACAAGGGGCTATCTGAGAAATTATTTTCCTTTCTTTCATTGCCTAAGTCAATGCTCATGTCACTTGCGCCACTCCATCTTCTCAACACAGCTTTCTCAGCCGGGCCAGTGAGTGTGTTAGCAGATGAAGACAATACATCAGATGAAAGTCTCCTTAGCTCCACTGATTTTCCAACAACAACAGGTTTGCTACCAGAGCCTGATGAGCTTTCCTTCTGTTTGTTTTCAAAAAGGTTGATTCTGTCTTGCACACTGAGTCGCCTAGAAGGAGGTTGACTCGTTGATGACTCAGTTAAAGCATCCTCTTCTTTCTTCTTCTCTTCTTGGTTGTTTTTTTCCTCTGAGTTCCCTTGTTGCTGCTGATGTGTTGGGAAAATGGACTTGGATAGCTGACATGTGGATAGTTTTGATTGGTTAAGGTGGTCTTGGGTTTGTGTTGTACTCTGTTGCTGTTGCTGTTGTTGGTCTTGGCCGGATGGATTCTGGGATTTATTTTGAGAAAATAGGTGGGGGCCACTTTGGTCTTCAGCGGGGTCATCAATTGACATGTCAGATCCCCATGACGCTCGGACCGCTTGATCATTGACACCTGGCTTCCATGGGCTGATCAGAGGGAATGTGGAAGCAAGGGAGCAGGTAATTCAGCAACGAACTAGGGTCAACTTGAGAAAGAGATCTCAAGGAATCACCCTTTCAGATCCAGAATTACCCACTTTGTCTGATTCCTGGCTCAGTCTTGATTTTCCATATCTATGTCAATACATTCTTCAACCTCCATGGTTTCAAGCTCTTTCTTGATCATCCTCTTTGCCATATCAGCTGAATCTTCAGCCTCAAAAGTCTCGTCAATTCTTCTTCATTTCTCAAAGCCTCTGCTGCCATTGAAGCTTTTAGCTTGGCGATACTAGCTCCAGCACCAGGACCTATGCCATTACCCTTTCTGAGGAACGGCTTTGACTCTGAACTTTTCAAATATTTTTCTTGGGGGCTCTGCTCACTTGTTCTTCATCAAATTTCAAAGGTGCCAGCACAACATCATCAGAATTTAAAGGGGCCACATCAAAAACCCATAGGACCAGCGAACTTTTTCTTAAAGAATTTGACCGCCTGGGCTTTTCTTCCTTGACAAGAGCTACTCTTCACTAGTACTCTTGCTGCGGGCATAATTCCTCACCTGTGAACGGCTTGTCACTTTGCTGCCAGAATAAGGCTTTGTGTTTTCTTTCTGAAGTCAGAAAAGTTGGGAACAGACTGTGCCAGAGGATTTTTGATTGGGGTCTACGCCTTCCGAAACCAGAATTGGAAATTTTGCCCGAGGGACCGCAATGTAGAAAAGATTCGATGAGATAAAAATATAATAATCAAGCATTATACAAATGCTGGTTTGTTGATAATGACAATTAAAGGGAAAAAAAAAAAATCATGATCTTCTGTAAATTTTAACTCTTATTGTGATTGTTTAGGGAACCCGTTACTGTACTTACTGCAGAACCAAAAACACAAATGGTGAACAAGTGTTTAGGCTGCCTTTATACGTTTGTGAAGAAACCAACAAGGTTCAACAACGGAGCTAACAAGATTTGAATGTAAGCACACTGGCAGTCTGGCACCGGTGAAAATACCGAGACATTTCAATAATAGGGCATATTTTTAAATCAACATTACTCGTATTTAAACCGATTGATCGGATCATGATCTAATCAATCCTTTAACTTGATTCAAAAGTCCAGCAGCTCAAGAAATGTAGTAGTACCAAATTGTTATTGCTATAAACTGCATAATGTAATTGAGGCCAAAACTGTTTATTCCAATAGATGATAAAATTACAGCAACAACAATGGAAGGAAAAGAAATGAAGATATAACAAAAGAATAGTTGAGTTTAACAAGCTAATACTCCGCATAATCACATCACTCTTCTTAAACTGCCAACGACATTGATTCTAACAAGAGTTTGATATACATCACGAGAAAGGAAGAGTTGCAAAAGAATACTGAATACCCTGGGCTACCAAAATCACAATGACAATACGCCAATAGGCGTATATCGTTCAATACAATATACAACATATATAGATGGCTTTATCGTGCCTACCTCAAGCATATCTACTTTATATTATATCGTCCTTTACACCCTACTGTTTAACAATGATACCAATCACTCCTGACTTCACTAAGTAAAATTTATCGGGGCTTCGAGTCACTTCCCTTGCTTCTAAATGTTGAGAGTGAGAAAAATGATCGTGGTGCTGCAAAATTTAGATATAGGTGTAAGTATGAATTGTAAGAAAGATGCTGAGCAACTTTATCACCAAGTAAACATGTTTTCCTTGACATTTTCACAGATTGACTCCGATATTTTCAGGAGTTTGATCACAGAATTATCAATTATATTCATTGATGAACCTAATCACTGAACAAAAGGGATTGTTTTCTTCACCTCCCCTAAACTTTGATATGTGTTCCCTGCTTAGGTATTACAATAGATTCTCTGTAACTTCAGAATTCAAAACCTCAAGAAGGATAAAGAAATTTCTATATGATAATAACTCTTCTATAACTTCAGGTTTAAAAGTTTGGACTTAGGACCACAGATACACTAAAATTCATTCTTCAATATTAGTAATTTTGAAGGGTGTCATTGATTCAAACTGGAGCGTGTGCAGGGACAGATCCATTGGATCATAGTGACTGAGTCAGCAAAACCATAAGTATTCAGGAAAGTCTTTGGGAATCACACTGAACTAAATGCATTTATTGATTACAGCAAAATGAGAAAACTGTAAAACTGTAAATCAATAACCTTTTATGGAGCTTCCTGACATATGGTCCTCCCTCAGCTTGAAGTTTGCTGGAGGCGCCGGGATAGAGCTATGTAAGGCTTGAACTGCAAGGAAAGAGAGTAACCATCAAGGTAATTTTACTCTTAAATTAACTAAAATATACAGAGAAGAGACTGAAAACCACAAGTTAAACTATCATAGAAAGAGAAGATTCAAATCCTAGTACTTAAGACCCTGAAATAAAAAATAATTATTTTTTTAGTTTAAGTAGTTTTCTCTATATTTATGTATATACATACTAAAAATAAGAACATTCATTGTACATTGCAGGTAAGCTAAAAGACATAACTTCAAATAAGCTGGTCTGAGAAATCTTTTCCTCCGTTGAAGAGAAACTCATCAACATTCATCTCTATCGTGTTACAGAGAAATTTAATATATACTGCATGGGCAAATCTTAATACTATTCCAAATATATGCAAGAATTTAACCAATAACCATGCCTAGCAAATAACTGCAAAATGACTAAGAAATCAAGTTACCCTGTTCGTTGAACAACTCGCTTTCATTGAAGCCATCATCCGAAGGATGACCCTGCATGAACCCCATTCTGGACTTCCTCAAATCTTCTGAAGAACGATTGGCAAGATCCCTCCCATCTTCTGTGTCATCATCTCCTTCAGAAGTTGTAGCAGAAATCCAGTCGACCAAACTTTCTGTACCACGACTTTTCCTTCCAAACTTCAATAACCTCTTAAACCCTTTTGTCACATCCTTCCGGGACTGATTATGGGATGAATTCGAAGCAAGGAAAGGTTTCTGTGCACTGCCCCATTTTTTCCTCATGCGAGCAGCATCAGCCTCTGTTTGGGTAAGAGTATGGGAATTCCACGATGCAGGACTCCCAATTGGAGAGTCCATAGAGGCATCAATATCTGAGGTCTCATGAGGGTAAGAAAATGGATGATGCATGCGTGAGTTCCATGACACAGGACTTTCCCCTGGCGAATCTTGCAGAGACCCTACAGCATGGAATGTGGAAGGCAAGGGAGCAGGTAATTCAGCAACTGAACTAGGGTCAACTTGAGAAAGAGATCTCAAGGAATCACCATTTTCAGATCCAGAATTACCCACTTTGTCTGATTCCTGGCTCAGTCTTGATTTTCCATTATCTATGTCAATACATTCTTCAACCTCCATGGTTTCAAGCTCTTCTTCTTGATCATCCTCTTTGGCCATATCAGCTGAATCTTCAGCCTCAAAAGTCTCGTCATATTCTTCTTCATTTCTCAAAGCCTCTGCTGCCATTGAAGCTTTTAGCTTGGCGATACTAGCTCCAGCACCAGGACCTATGCCATTACCCTTTCTGAGGAACGGCTTTGACTCTGAACTTTTCAAATATTTTTCTTGGGGGCTCTGCTCACTTTGTTCTTCATCAAATTTCAAAGGTGCCAACACAACATCATCAGAATTTAAAGGGGCCACATCAGAAAACTCCATAGGACCAGCAGAACTTTTTCTTAAAGAATTTGACCGCCTGGGCTTTTCTTCCTTGACAAGAGCTACTTCTTCACTAGTACTCTTGCTGCGGGCATAATTCCTCACCTGTGAACGGCTTGTCACTTTGCTGCCAGAATAAGGCTTTGTGTTTTCTTTTCTGAAGTCAGAAAAGTTGGGAACAGACTGTGCCAGAGGATTTTCTGATTGGGGTCTACGCCTTCCGGAACCAGAATTGGAAATTTTGCCCGATGACCGTGGAATTGGTGCTGCAGCCGTGCGAGGTGTAGATGAAGACATACTTCTATTAGGCAAAAGCTTCTTAGCTTGAGCACTTTTAGAAGCATTATCCCCAAAAGATGTCTCAATGAATGATCTATCTTGTCCATAATATTTCTGCTCAAACATTTCAGAAAGATCTTCATCTTCTTCGCTATGAATAGAACTTATAGGATGCTGTCAAAAGATTCACTCCATCAAAATTCTCTACATATAAAAGAATAAGGAAACTTTATAAAGCAAAAACCACAGAATAAACCACCAATATTGATTTTGTCAGTTTCAACACTTGCTACCCAAAAACATAAGCATGAAATACCTGCTCAATCTTCATAGTTGATCGAGAATTGAAGGATCTCAGTTTCTCAACACGCCGAGCAGTAGTAGCAACTGAATCCTGTCTGTCTAAGGAACCAGAAAATTTGGCCTTCATCTCAGCTCTGCTTCGCTCAAGACTGTCCTGCATGGCTTTTAACTTGGCTTCCTTTTCTACCCTTCTAGAACTCCACTCTTCCCTTAGTTTTGCATCTCTTTTCTGCATATACTTCTCATAAAATTTTCCTCTGGACTCATCAGACAAACCAAGCTCAGAGAAATTCTGCCTCAGGGAATCACCATAATCCTGATTGTCTGACATTTTCATTGGTGGAGTACTGAACTTTGCCATATTACTTGAACTCCCAGATCGTTCGATCACAGTGCTTTTGTCAGGCAATTGAGCAGGAGATATCTCAGACACTGTTGGTTTTCTGTAATGAGACTCTGCTACCTGCTCAATCTGTACGTCAGCAGGCTTGCTTCTCCTTGTGGAACTGGACTGATCCCCAGGAACTCGGAGCTTGTGTTCTGCAAAAAGCTTTTCCAACTCATTTGCCTTCATTTTCAGCTCGTCATTGAGTTCCTGATTTCCCTTTGACTGCCTTGATCTCTGAACTTGCTCAACCGGCAGTGTAGAGACAGCAGCAAAACCCTCTTGACTCTCTGAAACCTTTTTACCAGAAAAAACAGGCTTGCTATTTCCATAAACTGAACCACGTTCATCTCTCCTACCTTGCAACTTCTTAATCTGTTCAGGACCTGCAGCAACCTGTTTCTGAAACTTCATTCTCAGGTTTCCAGAATCTTCTGCTTTGATCTGTTCCCTTCCAAACACCAAGTCCTTCTTCCCTGCTTCTTCAACTTCTGTAAAAGATTTCCATTGTGGGTGAGATGCCAACTGATCAGCCGCAGACACTTTATCACGAGCTTCCCTGACTTTTACTCCAACACCACCTTCAAACTGTCCTGAGAGAGACCGTGTATGACTTTGAGAACCCCTAAAACGTGATTGAGACACTAGCTGATGTATCAGTTCAGCATCCTCTACTCTATTCCCAGTTTCACTATCAGAAGTAAAATCCCCCACTCTACCCACAGATTTTCCGGTCTGGATTCGCGAAGCAGCTTGGTCCTTCACCCCAACAGTCTCCTGGGAACTGGCTTGAACTTTAAACCGATCACTCTTCTCTCCACTACCTAAAGAACCCTTCAACTTCTCCTGAGAAACCCCTTGATCAGTCACACTAACCAGGTCATCCCTATCTGTGAAAGACTTGAGTTGATTCACTTGTGAACCCACTTGATCCTTCCAATGCTTGCCCCCCTTTGATCCCACCTGCTCCGGAACCCCCCCAACCCTCACTTGCCCCTCGCCTTGATCTTTCAGTCCAGAATCAGCAACTCTATCTCCACTGCTCTTAAAATCAACTTTCTCAGAACTTGCCGAATCAATTAAACCTTTTTGATCTTTCTGGTCCTTAATATCATCTGATACATCTGAAAACAAATTACTTTTGGACTGAGAAACAGACAATGAAGATGGTGTACACAAGGGGCTATCTGAGAAATTATTTTCCTTTCTTTCATTGCCTAAGTCAATGCTCATGTCACTTGCGCCACTCCATCTTCTCAACACAGCTTTCTCAGCCGGGCCAGTGAGTGTGTTAGCAGATGAAGACAATACATCAGATGAAAGTCTCCTTAGCTCCACTGATTTTCCAACAACAACAGGTTTGCTACCAGAGCCTGATGAGCTTTCCTTCTGTTTGTTTTCAAAAAGGTTGATTCTGTCTTGCACACTGAGTCGCCTAGAAGGAGGTTGACTCGTTGATGACTCAGTTAAAGCATCCTCTTCTTTCTTCTTCTCTTCTTGGTTGTTTTTTTCCTCTGAGCTCCCTTGTTGCTGCTGATGTGTTGGGAAAATGGACTTGGATAGCTGACATGTGGATAGTTTTGATTGGTTAAGGTGGTCTTGGGTTTGTGTTGTACTCTGTTGCTGTTGCTGTTGTTGGTCTTGGCCGGATGGATTCTGGGATTTATTTTGAGAAAATAGGTGGGGGCCACTTTGGTCTTCAGTGGGGTCATCAATTGACATGTCAGATCCCCATGACGCTCGGACCGCTTGATCATTGACACCTGGCTTCCATGGGCTGATCAGATCTGGTCGTCTTTGACACACTGAGCTAAATTTGGTGCAAGCTTCACTACACAACAAAAGAAATAATACATTAATATAACTGTTATAAAAAAACAATTAAAAAGTCATATAAAACAACAAAAAGGTTAAAGTAACTTAAAATTTCAGATCTTTGAAAATAAGAAAGCACCCCTATAACTGCTATACCTGCCATGCTGTGACAGATCTATAATATTAGATCTTTAACATAAGATTCCTATAAGGAAGGATTTTGGTTGGTGGGTTTTTGTATTATAAGATAATACCCATTTGTCACAAACAGTAAAGTCAAATAACATGTACATCTCACAAGCCAAATTTGGGCAGCATGTGAATATGCAGTGCAGAGATTTTTATTTCTCTGTACAATAGCATACGTACATAACTGTGGACCCAGTGTTCAATATAGTAAGTGCAAGACACAATCATGAATGGGTTTTCCCAGGTGTCCTCCAGCAAATCTGAGTTTGGCCCTATGGACCCACTTGAAGGGATCCCAATGCTCAAAACTGGAAAAAATAACAAACCAATAAAAAACGGGTTTTTTTAACGTGTACGATAGAAATTTTTATGGGATATGATTTTAAAAAGTATCTCAAAAGTTTTAGACCCATAGTAAAGAACATAAATAAGAGATCCCAACAGTAACTGAGATAGATATCTACAGTTATGGATATGAACTTGGTAACAATTTGAGCTTAAGCAAGATTTTGTCACATAGCTATTTTTGCATATTACTGATCCCCACAAATGACGAGAACCAACATGCGACAACCGGCAGGCCATTCATTGATTAATTAAATGATAGAACTCACTCAACCATAAATCAAATCCAAGTACCCAAATAGAAAACTAGACAGAAAAAACAATTAAATCCACCACTAGAAAACTTATGGCACCTCCATGACATGGAATATGATTAATCTCCTGGACCACAATCCAGCACCGAACAATAGTATATGGACATGGAACGAACTTGCATGAAACATCCTTATTTTCCCACTGAAAATCTTAATCACCCTATGATAGATCCCAAGTCCTTGTCCAGCCAACCCATCTAATGTACAAGGTAAGATCTCATTTTCTGAATAGTACAGTAGTCCTTCATAACATAGTGATATATTAGGCATAGTTTTGGACCACCGTGGATGCGACTTATAACCATTTCTAACAGCTAAACAGCTTGACAAGGCCAACTAGTAGCTGAAGCAGAACCTCAGCAGGGCCACTTGAAAATCACATGACAATGAGATACTTCAATTTTGAGTTATTACATATTTTATTGTATAAGATGCAGCCATTATCAAAATCATTAACTTTCTCTCTCTCTCTTCAGACATAAATATAAGCACACAGACACAGAAGTGGAGATTGGATTTACTAAGTTTAGTCTGTAGAGTTTAACATTTATTGTTTGCTAGAGTTTTAAGTATTATTTTCAGCCACTTTCCAATAAGCTTAAACTTCTGAGAGTTAAATAGTAACTCAACATAGTATCTGAGCTCATTCGACCAAAGTTATTGTATTTGAACCATTTAATCCATGTAAGTCTATCAACAAATTTATCTATGCAAAAGAAGGGGCTATGCTAAAATATAAATATTGTTGTTAGTTCAAGTGTAATCTCTACTGTTAGGCTCTGTGCCATCATCTTAAGCTTTCCAAGTTAATGGTTTCTCAATATAATCAAAGAAAGAATTTCCAGAGTTCTTACTTTAAGCGAAGCGCACCAAACTGATCAGCAAAGTGGTGGAGTTCAGAAACAGTTTCAGGGTTGAAGCCAGCAGATGCTGCACGAGCATAAGCTGTGTTTAAGTCCTGTCTAACCGCAACCAGACGCACATCAATTGCCTTCAAAAGCTCCTTCCTGTAGAAATTGGGAAAAGAAACAAGGTATGAGTTTGAAGCAACTTAAAGAAAAAGTGAGAAAGTCTAAATTCAGTATTTCATGCAAACAACTTCTATCATAATCTTTGTTTTACATGACAAGTAACTTATATTATAACATCAATCCATTTTCATCATCAGACAAGGTCAACCTTGTGTATGACAGGTTTCGATCACCAATTCTTTCGTCAGGAAGCAAATTATTCAATTTCATTTTATTTTCTGACAATTAATGGCTTACTATTTTTTACAACACAATTAAGTCCCTATGACAGCCCCCAAATATATTAAAGAAGGCATGTTCCCGCCTCACATTCCTCAAACATGATATCATTTTAAAAAATGAGTACAGTTCTTATAAGATTACTCAACAGCAATGCCTTCAATGGCTGACAATTACATGGATCCAGCGTGCATACAAAAATTGAAAATAACAACTGAAAAAGCAACTGTTGCTGCAAATGAAAAAACAGGCCACAGCTCAAGAAAATTATCAGAAATTTTTAAAAAGTGGTCCAATATGGATAAGTGAAAGATAAAGGAGAAACTTTTACTTTGTTGCATCAGCTGCTGCATTTCCAGTACCATCCCCACCTACAGCAAATTGCCAAATGTTGTGTCAGCAAAATAAAAGGAACTTCATTCAGAATTTAAAATAAGAAAAACTTTGTTATTTCTAGCGGCTAGGAGAATAAAGCTAATGAGAGGTTCTAAGAATTTGGGATCAACAGTTTCAGAAAGATGAGATGCCATGGTGCAAGAAGGAAAGAAACAACATTATATCCAACAAAGCAAACATCAAAGAACCGCTAGCCTTTAAAAAATCAAAATAGTGATTTAAATTGTCCAGGCCATTGACCTATAATTGACAGTTGAATCTTTAAGTTTGGAGGACAACTTTTTGGCTTTTAGGAACAAAAATTTCTCCTTTTTTTTTTTTTTTTTTTGTGTGTGTGTGTTCTTTTTCTTTACAGAGTTTTTTTTAGTATGTCAAAATCATCTCATTAAGCTAGTAAGTGAATGGTTAGAACTATGAAGAGATTAAAAAAAAAAAAAGAAAAAAAAAAAAGGTACTTATTTAGTAAACAAGGCAACTTAACCTTAACCCCTAGGGGCCATACCCAGTCTCTCATGCACTCACTCTACATGAGAGAGACTCTGGAAGATCCTAATCACCAAGAATGCCAGAGAAATGTTATTCAGAACTCACAAAGATAGGAAAATCTAACACGCTATAATATTTCTCAGCCCATCTTGAGTTAAATTGTGTAACCTTTACCAATAAAGTCGTGTGAAAGTCTCTGCAAACACACTTTTCTGTGTGCAAGCTTTTGAATTCTTGCATGTGTACCAGTGTGGTGGATGAACTTTCAGCCGTAAACAGCAACAAGCAAGCATTGCCCAAGTACATTCTAAACATGAATAAAAAATTTCCCAAAATAACTTTACATAACCACTTTTTACTGTCATTGGTGTGAAAAAAATTTAATCCCAAGACCTCTTACATATCTGCAAAGATATTACCAACTAAGAGAATTAATTAATGACATAGAGAACAAGAAATTTTCGAAAAAATTAGTTTTTTGATAGGATGGTTAGATATGTGCATTATTGTGAAAAAAACTAAGCTAGTGGATCACCCATCCACTACAACAAAAATAACCCATCTACAAAAATAAACATTTCAAGTATATCAGGCATATGCTTTTCTCCAATTGGTATGGTCTTCCTCCGTCTTCCTATTACTCAACAAGTTTCTCTCTATCTAATTGCCAGTACATAATGAAATGTAGCAGTGTAGACGACACAGACACAACTTTACAAACTTTACATGGTAGACAGTACCAGACTAAGAACACTGTTTCAAGAAGCTTTTGAATCAACCACACATCCCAAATTCATATAACATCTCATTACTTAAGAGAACAAGCTTCTGAAGCAACAGCAAACCGCAAATTCATGTAAGAATATGTTTTTTATGAGTCCATGCCCTGAAACCACCTAATGTTAAAATAGCACAGCAAAGGGAAATAGATTTTCTTACAAGTAATCAAAGATCATGTCATGGCCTCGCTAGAGAGCTTAATAGTAATATTGAGTCCTTAGTTGTTAGTTTAAGTTTTTGTGTCAAGTGGTTTCCTATTATGGTATCAAGGCAAAGATCATAAGGTTGGATGAAGTCGTCCAAGAACTAAAGACATTCACCAAAACATATACATTGAATTTATCATTTCTAATGCATTTAAGCATCAATACGCTATATATCTAATAATGGAAAACAGAACCTTGTACTTGCAGAAAGGAAATTAGAGATAGTACATTCCAGAAGCAAGTAGAATTTATATCCGAGTTCAATGTAGCTCAAGCTTTAAATGAAAAAATGACAACAAATCACCACAAGCAATTTGATTACCATCACTGACTTCTCTTAGGCATCTCTTGGGTATTACAACTTTTCACTAAGAGGGAAAAAGAATATGTGATAATCAAAACACGTGATCGGTGATCTGCTAACCTGCTGCTACATGACTATGAATTAGATACATGTTACCAGTAATGTATAACTTCAATGAAACTATATGTGACTAAACTCATAATACATAGATATATTTCTTCTTATTTCCAAAGTCTAAAGTTCTGGACAAGATAACCAGGCCATCAAAATACAGCTTGTGTTACCAAATCCCAAATCATGCTTGAAAATAACCATAATCGTATACTATGTCCTACACAAAAATTATTCCATAAAACTCCAATCTTTAAAAAAGTCGATGACATATTTCTGTTTTCCTTGAGAAGATATTTCCATTTTAAGTGCAAGATAAGATATTTCCGTTTTAAGTGCATGATAAAAATATTTCCATTTTAAGTGCATGATAAAAATATTTCCATTTTAAGTGCATGACTAAATTAAACCATTTGTCTGCATCTTTATTAGAAATCTGTTAATATCTTCTGATTGATTACATCTTCACAAGCAGTGAAATCTCAGCTATAAAAAATACTAGTTATGGTGGCATTTTTCAATCACAATGCAAAGTACTATTAAATATCGTCAGTTAGTATACTAAGATATTATATCATTCCTGTAAGATATTATATCATTCTTGGCAGATAAGAATAATAGGCTTATGATGCAATGTAGTCAGACTAATCCAAACATGGAAGGATAGGATTAACTAGATGAAGCCAAAAACAAAGATACACACCTATTGCGCGAGAAAGTTGATCCCTGGATCCCTGAAATACAAGAAAACCCACATTCAGCCCAAAAGAAAGCAATGGTACTTCAAATTAATATCTTCAATGAAGAATCAGGCAATTAATACCTGAGAATAAATTTTCCTAGCTGCTTCCAACTGGGACATCTCCGCATCAAATGTATTGACCAATTCCAAAACCTCAGGTGTAGTAACAAACCGCACAAACCTGGAAACAAGAAGTGCCAATCAAATCAAAATATGAATCCAAGCCATTCATCAATGGAGCAACAAATGTCTCAGCTGGCACCAAGTGTAACCTTTCAAGTGTTCCTTTCGTGAACCAAGTAACGGCATTGTCACGTTTTCCAACTTCAAGCTTAATTGACTTAACTGCCCTTGCAACCTGTTCCTCTGCAACCTTTAAATGTGTCACAAATGGCTTCACTAACCCTGAGGCAAGCTTCTCGGTGTTCCCATCAGTTGATACAAACAACTCACATCTGCCAAAATGGAAAGCATCAAATATTGTAAAACATACCAAGCCAAATATCATGAAATTAAACATAAATATTTATTAAAGAATTTCCTTACCTTGAGCGCCTTGGTGAGAGTTGGAACACCGCATAATCAAGAGGCGTATCTGCCTTCATCTTCTTCCCTCTCCTCTACCTATACTATATTTACACTACTTCTTCCCTAAACTCCTCATATACTTCACTGCACAGAGGAGCCCAGATCCCCAAATTATTAATCAATCAATTGCCCAAAGCAAAACACTTAATCAAATTTACCTAACACCACAGTGCAAGCTCTGGAGGAGAAGAAAGTAAATAAAACCAAAAAAATTCCAAAATTACAGCTAAAACTAATTACCGAAGCACTTTAATTACAGATTACACTAAAATTATCCCAGTCAAACGAAGAAATCAATACTAAATTAACCCACATTTCAAATCAGAACTAGATTCCATTAACAGAAGTACACATTAAAACAACTGAATACTCAATAGCTAATAAGCAACTATTTTTTCAAACAAATGCAAACCAAAATTCGAACTTGGATCTTAACCCAAAACCCCAACTCAAAAAACAAAAAATGTACTAATATAGAAACCAATACTTGACATATAATTAAATCAGATCTGATTCCATCAAAATCAAACTCAAATACAAAACAAACCATAACCCACTTGCATTTACACCACTAAAACCATAATCGAACACCAAACCATCCAGAACCCATTTCCACACCCAGATAAATGAACATAAACTGCATGTAAAAAAAAAATCAAAAGTTTTACCAAAAATTAAAACAAATGTAGCTTGGATCGCCCCAAAAAAAAGCGTACCTGTGAGGAGAATCAGTGAGATCTATCTCAACATTCAGCTTCTATTTACTCTTTTTGTATATTTATATGCTACTGACAGTCTGACACTAGTTTCTTTTTCTGATGTTTGTGGGTTATGTTTTTTGAGTTTGAAGAAATGAAAAAAAAAAAAACAAAATTAAAAATAAAAATAAAAAATAAATGAAAAAACAAAACCCTATAACAATGACAACATTGTTTTTGCTTTACTCCTCTCTCTCTCTCACTTTTACATTACTTTGAATCTCTCTCTCTCTCTCTCACTATTCTATCTCTTGTCTTAAAGACACAGTAGAGAGAGACAGAGAGAGTGCGCTTTGGTTTGAGATTTTTGTTTTGTTTCAGACAAAAGTTTTTGTTTTGAGTAATTTTCTTGTAAATATTATTTATTATTATTATTATGAGAATTTTCTGTAAATTTACCTCTTTGCCCTTGCTTCCTCTTTGCTTCAAATTACTATCATACCCTTGTTGTGAACTATATATTATATCATAAGAAATCATATTTGTCCTATTTATTTCCTAAAATAAATTTTAATAATATGAAATGGTTCTAACTGTCAAACCTTATTTATTGAAATTATTAATTAAAATTGATTATAGATTAAACTATATTAATAATTTTTATTAATTTTCAAATTTTAAAGCTCTTTTAACTAATAAAAAAAAAATCCTAAATTTAATGCACTATTAAGAGTAGGTTTCAAATTCAAACCATCACTCAAAAACAAATAAATAGTTTTTAAGGTAAAAATCTTACCTTAAAAAGAATATTAAAATCCCACTTTATTACTTTTAATAGANTCCTAAAATAAATTTTAATAATATGAAATGGTTCTAACCGTCAAACCTTATTTTTTGAAATTATTGATTAAAATTGATTATAGATTAAACTATATTAATAATTTTTATTAATTTTCAAATTTTAAAGCTCTTTTAACTAATAAAAAAAAAATCCTAAATTTAATGCACTATTAAGAGTAGGTTTCAAATTCAAACCATCACTCAAAAACAAATAAATAGTTTTTAAGGTAAAAATCTTACCTTAAAAAGAATATTAAAATCCCACTTTATTACTTTTAATAGATAACCAAAAAGCAACCTAAAGTTTTAATTAGCTTTGAAAATCCTAAATTTAATTATTGAGTATGGAGGGTATTATGTCCTCACAAGTATTTTCATCAAGGGTATTTTGGGTATTATCGGTGAAAAAAATTAGGGCATGGTCAAATGTCCACATTTTCATAATGTCTAAGTTGTTAATTAGATATTCTAATTTTAACGGTACAAAAAAATACCCATTTAATATAAAGTTTTGAAAGTGAAAGTGGAGGGCACAAAAATTCGAGTTAAATACATTGTGGTCCCTAAGGTTTAGCCCAATTAAATCAGATCCACTAGAATCTGAAAGTAATCTTAGGTCCTCATCAATTAATAACCTTTGTAGAATTTTATTTTATTTTTTATTTTTTTCGAAAAGTTTAAAATACCCCTAATCTTGTCTTATATAACTGATATTAAAAATTAAAATAATTAAGGATCATGGATTTTAAATACTATTTCCAAATTTATTTGGACTTTAGGTACCAAAAGAATTCACAAAAATTATATAGCTTGTTATTTAAGTTGTGGTTCACTATACATGTTTGTCCTCCTACAAAGTCCACCACATATTATTGGTGTGGTCTTCTCCACTTAGGAGTTGACATGTGTCACCGGCCACCTTTCACCGAAAAATTAAAAAGAAAAAAGATTAAAAAAAGTTTGGAGGGATTATTTTTATTTGTGTTGATGTTGATGTTGATTGAATGTTATTGATTTTTGTGGTTTGAAAGTGGGTATTGTTTATAATCGTGAATTAATTAAGGATTAATAGTGAATATAATATGATGGGTGTGGCTAACAATGACATGGGGGTTGATTAAACTATACTCCTTATGAAAACATGGAGAAAAAATGTATATATTGTTTTTAATATAAATAATTATAATATATTGATTCAAGATCATACATCTTTTTGAGATAATAATCATTATTTTCATATTATGAGACTATGAATTTAATACTAAAATGAACTCAAATTGTTAGAAGTTATATTTATCTCACATCGCCAATTTGATATATGTTATGATGTATATTTGTGGTTGAACTCTCTTATTTTTTAAGCTAGCTTTTAAGTATAAATTATACCCAAATCCGTTAATTATTATGATATCATAATTAACGGATTTGTTAGGTGCCATTGGAATTTGTGTATGACTTTTTTCTTAGCATGCCATTTAAAGTCTATTTTTCCATGTTGATTTTATGCCAAAATTATATGGCTTCGTTTGGTTGGTTTTGGGGAATACTACTTTTAGTATTCCCAAAAAAGTTAAACAGTAAACTACCCAAACACTCACAATATTATTCAACTTTTTTTAAATCCTCTAAATTTGTTAATTTAATTAAATACTCTTAAATATTTTTTAAAAAATTATAAAAACACCCCAACAATCCACATTTACTAGATTCCGGCCACCACTGTCAGAAAATGGCCGGAATCTAGTAGGATGGCACACTATTGGCTGAATCTGGCCGGTAGTATGCCGATCTAGCATTTTCCGGCCAGATCCACGATGGATCTGGCTGGAAAAGGTCAAATCTTTGGCCGTAACCAGTCGGTAACGACGGCCAACAAACGGTCGACGTTGACTATCAACGACGACCGTTTGTTAGCCATCGTTGACGAGCAAATACGGCCAGATCTGACCGTCAATGGCCAGATCTAGCCGTAGATCTGGCCTTTGCCGGTCAGATTCACCGTGAATCTGGCCAGAAAAGGGCATATCGGCTCACGACCGGTAAGATCCAGTCGGTCATACGCCGATACGGTGACTCCTGCAGTGGTGGCCTATTGTCCGTATTTGAGGGTGGATTGTGGGTGTTTTTGTTAACTTTTAATGTTTTATTGTAGGGGGTGTTTTGTAAAAAAACAAACATAAGGGGTATTTTATTAATTTATAAATCCTACATCGTAATACCCGCCCAATTCAACTTTTTTTTAACTTTTTTCAAAAATACAAAATTGTGAACCAAACGGAGTATACTTCTATTGACACTATCCCTCACAAATGGTGTAAACCTTCAAACTAAATGGGAGGATATGTTTTGAAAATTATTTTTTTCAATGAGTAATGATATATGTAAAAAGTTGAGATCCCGATTTCGGATCTCGATTGACATAGTTGTTTTTGTACTAAAACTATAGTAACTATACGATGATGGATACTATCTTACTTTTACATCAATTAGGATTTAAAAATAAAACGTTATTACCTTTGACCTATTAAAAGGTTTAAGGAAATATCAACAAAAACCTCAAAGGTATTAAAAATCATTCGCTACCTCTTCTCGTATTTCATAAAATTATCGTTTACCTCTCGTGACCATTTTAGTTTTGACTGTTAGATTCCATTGTCGAATTTGAGAAGAGGTTATTGATGATTTCTCGTACCCTAGAGGTCTTGTTGATATTTTTTGAAACCTCTTCAAATAAACTATGTTTTCCCATGTTCTCATCCTCTTTAAATCAACACTTAAAGCATATAAAAAGAAAGATAAAATGTCTCTATTATAACATTAATTACTTCAATTATTTACAACTAATTATGTGACTTCATATTTTCCAAAATAAAGGACCATAATAATATATTTTATTTCTCTAAGATTTTCCCCTTTTAATCTTAAGTTCTCTTCATTAATTTTGATTGATCTTTTGAAAATAATTAGCTTAAGTAAATGTATTATTCCCAAAATTACAATAGCTATAAATAATTTGTAGAAATTGTTGGTGGTTAACAAATCTTTGAATTAAAATTAATAAACTAGCCTTACCAACTTTACTTTACCATATTTGTGTCAATTATATATGGAAATCTAAGTATCTCAATAATAGCTTAATAGCTACTTGATGTGAAATGCCATAAAATAATCTTGTTAAACATCCTAATAGCTTCATTTTCAAAGGTTTGAAACATTTTCTTAAAGATGTAAGAAAAAAAGAAATAAAAGTTTATTAAAATGAATCTTAACTCTTCAACCAGCTAAGAAACATATTTAGGTAGAACTTTTTCTCAAAAGTTAGGTTGAAAGAGGAGGGAGTTCAACCACATATATACAGTCTACTAAATTAGCAATGAGGGACAAATACAAATTTTAACACTCTCTCTTACGCTTGGCGTGCATAGCCAGATTTCAAACCCATCAGGACCCACCATCGCCCCAAACAAAGGTGGCTCTAACGCTATAATGTATTTGGGAGATCAATAAGTTTTAAGTCTTCTATCTATTTTCAAGAATTATTGAATACTCATGTTAGTTTTTTTTTTTTTTTTTTTTTAATTTTATAAATGAGTTTTTGATAATTTCAAAGGTTTCGGTGGGTACTCATTGTGGCTTTGAAATTTATCGATCAATTTAAGACATGAAAAATTAACCCACAATTAAGGCTTTGTAAACCCTTAACACGTTGAATCAATCATCCAATTAATTAATAATTAATATCTAAAGATTATTAATAACAAAATTGGGAAAGCAAGATCATTTAGTTTGATTTTAATGTTAATCCAATAAGAGCAAATATCTGAATTTACATGATGATCAAATTGAGGGTGGAGATACACATGTTTTTGTGGTCCTCACCATGAAGATCACTAACACAATTTGGTTGACACGTGTACTGTCTTGTGTGTCTTCCACTAAGCAAAATCAATCAATTGTAGTGATTAGTTGGGCCGTGGAAAATGATTTTAGATCCAAGGGTCCAAATTGCATTATGAATGGCCCACAACATGATTAGTGGGTAGGGCACATGGATTTTCTTGACTTTGTGAAGATACATTTGAGTCACTATGATGAATGGTCATTGTGGGGGTTTTGGATGGTGGGAAAATTACGAAAAAAAAATTAATTTAGGGCATAAGTTCAATGAGTTATGCCAAACTTAGAATTTAGGCTCATACGAAAGTAGTTTTTTTTTTTTTGGGAGAAATATGTTAAGAAAACGTGCAAGATTTTAAGGTTGGTCACTTATCACAATAACTTTATAATTTACTTAGTCTTTTGGGCTTAGAGGGTATTCA